TAAGAATGCTGATTCATAATGGGGATGGGGAGGCAGTGTGAGGAAGGGAAAGGAAGGGTTTATGAGGGTAGGAAAGTCGGTGGAATGATAGACATCATTACCCTAAGTACGAGTACGAAAATACAAATGGTGTGACTCTACTTTGTGTACAACCAGAGACATGAAAAATTGTGCTCTATTTGTGTAATATGAATTGAATTGCATTCTGCTGTCATATATAGCAAAATTAGAATAAATAAAATAAAAACATAGTATTGGTTTTTAACTTTAATAATTTCATTTAATCTATTCCAGGGATTAGGAGTTTTTAATATTCTTGGTTAGATAAGTAATAAAAAATATAAAATATTGAAGTACTGATTTAATTGAGGAATTACACAATACTCAATTTATGTTCAGAAGTTCTTCATGGTTAGTCCTGTTTGATGTTATTTTTTTGTTTCCCTGTGGGTTGTATATATTAATTCTGTTTTATATTTCTTTTATTATAGTATTTAAACCGAGGCTGTACTAGATACTTTGCTAACAAAGAAACTGACAAACAGATTTTACAGAACCGCAGAAGTCCTGAGGTATAGTAAACTATTTTTTTAATTAAAATTTTAATGTCAAAAAACAATCATGCTGAGCTGGGGTTGTGCTCAGTGGTAGAGCGCTCATCTAGCATGTGTGAGGCCCTGGGTTTGATCCTCAGCACCACATAAAAATAAATAAATAAAATAAAGATATTGTGTCCAACTACAACTAAAAAATAAATATTTTTTAAAAAAATCATGCTGCAAGTTATATTTTTAAATTAGGAGCCCGAATAAGATTTCTTACTTTTAGACTTATGTTTCAAAAAGCTTAAGTACTCATTCTTTTAGTGTGCAGAACTTTATAACTCTGTTGATATCTACAGAAGCCACAGCTTCTAGTTCAAGGGACTCAGGACACTGCTTTCCTCCTCCTCTTTTCCAAGTATGATAGTTTTAAATTGCTAAGAATCGTTGTCTTTTAGCACTTTTGAAACTTTTTCTCATATTACCTTTTTAGGATTAAGTACAAAGTATATATTTTTAATTTATTATCTACTTTAAGGTTTGAATTAGGTACCAGTTTTGTACCTTGAATTAGGTACAAGGTTTGAATTAAGGTTTGAAGTAGACAATAGACTAAGCATTCATGTGAAAGTATGTTTACATATTAATAGCACTTCTCTTTAAAATAGCTTATTTCTAAAATATATTAAGTTTTAAACTGGACTCTGGCACACACCTGTAATTCTAGCAATTTGGGAGGCTGAGGCAAGAGGATTACAAGTTTGAGGCCAGCCTTAGCAACTTAGTGAGGTTCTAAGTAACTTAGTGAGACTCTGTCTCAAAATAAAAAATAAAAAAAGGGCTGGGGATGTAGCTCAGTGGTTAAGTGTCCCTGGCTTCAATTCCTGGTACCTAAATAAATAAATAAACAAAGTTTTGTATATTGGCCTCTCTAAATCATTATAATATTTCTAAGAGTAATTAGGTATAATTATACCATTAAGTACTGTTTTAAAAACATTTAATCTTTAATCTGAAGACCTATAAATTTTAATAGGCAGTGTTTAAGTAATAAATGGTATTAAGTTGTGTCTGTACAAGGGGCTTACATTAGGAAAGTTAAGTTAGGATTAGTTATAAGTTCTAGTTTATATTGCCTTTACTGATTTTATTAAAACATTTGTATTGAGTATGTAAATAGTTTTTATTATGATCAATTTCTAATTCTTTTATAAACTAGATATTTTGACTTCTTTCAAACTGGGTTAGATGAAATATATCTTAAATATATATTCATATTAAATATCAGAAAACAAAATTACCCTTATTTCAAATTCAAAATAGATGAGTCTACAGTTAATTTTTTATTAATTTGACATTTTATATATCATTTTAGATAGATGTCTGAATTATAAGTCATGAACTTTATGTTTTATCCATGATTGGACTTTAAAGAAGCAAGATTGTATTTATAATGGTATCTTTGTCTTGATAAGATTATATTTTTATAAAAATATCACCAAAATATTGTAGTTGTAGGATGCTTCAGCTGTCCTAAAGGAAGAAAATATTTATTTATTTACAAAGATATGGTCTTTGTCACAGAATAAACTGAAAGAAAACTGGTGTTTACACTTCAGAGAGTATCATGTATTCTCCAAAGATAAAAATGTACTCACTTTTAGATGAATATAGGTTTTCAGGAATCTTTTATATTATTTAAAGGGAGGGAGGGTGAGATAATATGTGTGTGTATAATATACAAAGGTGAACAATGGATTAATATGTTTAAATTGCTTTTTATGTCTTCTTTATCAGGAGGATGAGGTGATCATTTTGACTAAACCCTTTGCCTTATTCCATTTGAATGTCTTTCAGCTGTGTGTAATTTCTAGGAAAATGCAGTATTTTTAGTCTGCCCTATAGCAAATATGTTTATTAACATTTGATTAGAAACAGTTTTTAAAGGAAGCAAGCATTGAATTGCAAGACTAAAAATTCTGCATGATGTGTTTTCTGTTAATTTTTTTGCTGCTTGTGATTGTTGTCTTTGCTTCTTTTTAAGAGTAAAGTGGAATTTCATTTTCTAGATATTTTCCAGAAATTTCACAAATAATTGAACGTTTAAAAAACTTTTGTGGAAAGACAAACTGCTGAAAAGCAGTTGTTTACTTGGAGAAAAATACACCTCCTGGAGCCATCTTTTAATGCCATTAATTCTAATATTATGCTTCCTTATTTTAACTTCTTAATTMTGTGTTCTGGAAAATTCCTAGACCAGTTTTTCTTTGTCCAGTTACTGTTATGTTTTTCCTAGCTTCTGCAGGCCTAACTTTCTTCATCCCTTTTTCTGAGCTTGTTGTAGGTTCTAACAAATTGAATACTTTGGATACAAATTCCTTTAGGAGAGAAAACAAATTTTCTCTTCTTTTTTTTCTGAMATGTTTTTAGTCATTGCATAAATTTCTAGAGTAAGCATAATGCTTTAATACACTGTACCTTGTGTATATACAGAAAGGTTAAAAAAATACTTCTAAAGCCATGTATCACTCTGTCCAAGATATTTGCTTCTGTTTAACTTTAGTGAATTGATGGTAATTAACCTAAAGTAGTGTCATGCTAATTGTCAGGGTTATATATTGCAACTTTTTACCTTTTTTTGCTTATTCGTTTTTAATTGAAAAAAAGCTGTGTATATTTGTAAAACACATTGGGATGCAATGTAATGTTTGGATATTGTATACATTGTGGAATAATTAGATCAAACTAACATATCCATTACTACCTTAATTCTTTTTGACCTAAAGATTTTGATTAATTTCAACCACATATATTCCCTCCTTCTTTATTGAATTTATCTTTATCTAATATCCTAGAATTATAATACTTTAGAATTGAAATTATAATTATAAAACATTTCTTTTTTAAATTGAAATTATTATTGAAATAATTGTAGTTTACATGTAGTTGGAAGAAAGAGTGAAGATATCTTATATACACTTTACCTAGTTATTCAATTTTTATAAGTGTTAGAATGCTTAACTTTTTTCATTGACTAATTTTATTTTTGCATGACATATGTTGCATTAATAGACTTGGTTTTATAGTTTTGGTTTACTTAAAAAATGTGAAGATTAGTTAATTATTAATATCTTGTTTTGTAGTATCTTAAGGCAGGTTCCTTGAAAGATCCTCTCTTAGATGACCATGGAGATTTTATTAGAATGTGCACTGCCATGAAAAAAATTGGTTTGGATGATGAAGAAAAGCTTGATCTGTTCCGAGTAGTCGCGGGTGTCCTGCATCTTGGAAACATTGACTTTGAGGACACTGGCAGCACTTCAGGTTTTTTTTTTTTTTTCTTAAGGGCATAAAATTAGATTGACTTACTCTTATTTTTTGGTCATATGAAAAATCATTCTAAATGTTTAGGTGCATGTTTTTTGAATTTTCTAGAATGTAGTGTGTTACATGGTGAACCTGACAAATGAGCGATGCTTCATTATGAGCTTTGTTTTGAACAAATTAACAACTGAGTACTAGGGTCATAGCTAAAAATTTTAACTAATGGTACTTTTTTTCCCCTCCTATATCTGGGATTGAACTCAGGGGCACTCCCCTGAGCCACATCCCAAGCCCTAATTTGTTTTATTTAGAGACTTGGTTTCACTGAGTTGCTTAGTGCCTTGCTTTTGCTGTGGCTGGTTTGAGATCCTCCTGCCTGAGCCTCCCCAGCCACTGGGATTACAGGCATGTGTCACCGCTCCTGGATAATGGTACATTTTTAACAACAGATTAATTCTCTATCCTCTATTAAAGTATTTTTGAAATTTTTCTGGTTCATTGATCTAAACTTGGATAAGTTAATCAGGGCAGTTTAACACTATATACCTTATTTATGAGAAACAAAAATAAACTATAATTTTCATTCTTATGAAAATTGAAGTATATCTAAATAGTTAACATTCAGCTGGGCTTGGTGGTGCACACCTGTAATCCCAGAGCTTTTGGAAGCTGATGAAGGAGGACTGCAAGTTCAAAGCCAGAATCAGCAATTTAGCAAGGCCCTAAGCAAGTCAGCGAGACCCTGTCTCTAAAGAAAATACAAAAAAGGGTCAGGGATCCCAGTTTGAAAAAAAAAAAAGTAACATTTAACTCTAGTGTTGCAGTCTGTATATAGCATAAATAGTGAAACTTTACTTAGTTCTAAATGTGATCCCTGAATATAGGATTGGCAAACTGTTACCTATGGGCCAAATCTGGCTCGCCACCTATTTTTATAAATAAAACATTATTGGAACATAATCACACCCATGCATCTGTGTATTGTCTATGCCAGTTTTCATTTGCAGTAGCAGAGCTGAATAGTTCAGACTGATGTCCTGGAAAACCTAAAATATTTACTATCTGGCTTAGGAAAAAAGATTAGAGCAAAAGATTGTTGACCTTTGCATTAATACATTGTTTTAGAATCTTATACAGAAATTAGTTAAGAAGAACTGAAAGCGCTATTTAATATAGCAGTCAATAACATGGGCTTTTGTGTTAGATCCCTGGGGTTCTGTGAACCTTGGTTTCTTCATTTACAAAATGAAATAATCCATAAGAAGTTCTTTTAAAGTACAGTATCTGTATGCAACAAGGAAAGGGGGCACAAGAGGAAGGAAAAAATAGAAAGTATCAGAGCTGGGGTGTACCTCAGTGGTAGGGTGCTTGTCTAGCATTTTCAAGGTCCTAGGTTCGGTCTCCAGTACCACACACACACACCCACACACACACACACAAAAAAAAAGTACCCTATGCAAGATACTTTCTTTCACATCTTATATTTCATCATAATCATAGTTAAAACATCAAAAAATAATGAGGTGAGAGATATTATCTCCATTTTATAGATGAGGAGCCTGCGCAAAAGTGAGATAATACACATGGTTATTAATAAGTTTTAGCCGGGAGAACCTGTTCTGTCCATGTCTGACTAGCTCAGAAGCCTGTAATAATTGTCCTTCATTGCCTCCAGGCTACTAAACCTTATGATCTGTGAATGAATATACTAAAATAGACAATGACTTTAAGATTTAATGTCCTGTGATGCTGTGAAGTCAATAATGTGAGATTCAACATAGCATAGAAAAGCTCACATTGCTCTTGAATCAGAAAGCTTTACCTTGTACTATCTGCTGTGCATGACCTTGGGAGAGGAACTTAACCTTTCCATATCTTAGTTTCTTCACTGTTAAAGGGTAATAATGGTCTTCATGTTGTGTAGAGGAATAAATAAGTTAAATATTTATAAAATGATTTGAGTATTTGTGGTTAGTACATAGTAATCACTATTAGTGAATACGTAAAATAAAAATACAGATTGCTGTCTACTTAAAATGAAATTGTAGCAATATAGATATTTTTTAGGGTACATTTAATTTCTTATTAGTTTTTTAGAGGAATTGGAAAATTTACTGTGAAAATATAATGAATGTTGTCATGTTTCATTTGCTTTTTAGCAATGTTAAAGGAACATACGGAAGATTCTAAGTAACAAAGAAAGATTTTAGGATAATTAGCATACACTTTGGAAATGTTATTATAAGTAATAGGTCGTATTTTCATACCTCTAATTATTGTCCTGTGGTAGAACTTGTAGATGTATATGGAGTATCATGGATGTTGCATGAACCAGTTAGTTGAAGAGCACTAATTAGTCAGAAGGGATTAAGTGCATTTTTGCATTATCACTTTATTTTTTTTCTTAAAGTTCCTTCAGTTGTAGCAGAAATAAGCAGGATATAGTACAGATGGTAATAAGGCAAAGGCTCAAGAGAAAAAACTAGACTAATATAATATTAATAGCTAAGATTTTATTACATTTATCTTCATCTTTCCTATGACTCTCCATTAAATCTATGATCCAAATGATTTCTAAGTAGAAGTGGGTTTTTCCCCCCTTGATAGCTCATTTTTGGCATGTCCTAGAAACTTGGTGAAAAAAAATATTTTGAAATTATTTTATTGGAAAATTTATTTTCCAGTAAACRTGTTAGGAATTTTTTCTATATTTTTGTTGGTGCATTATAATTAYACATAATGGTGAGATTCATTGTTACATATTTATACATGCAAGTGATATAGCAATAAAATTTGGCTAATATGATTTCCCAGTACTTGTAGGACTCTTAACTGTCATAAATATGGTTTTTGCATGATGGAAATACTTAAAATGCCTCTGGGACTGCCTATGTTTTTTAGATTCCATATAACAAAAAAGTATTTTATTATAATAATAAACTTAAAAATGTTTGAAGAACTATTTTGGAAAGGGAGTGACATGAAAACCTTACTTTATTTTATAGTCTTTTCCTTTTTTAAAAAGTCTTTTGCATTTTTAAGATTTTTTAAAAAGTTATTTTCTTAACCTTACATAATTCATATAGGTATATATAAAAATTTATCAATATAATAAAAGAAAAGAAGTATTTAAATGAATTATTGGTTACTTTTTTGAGAATTATGTCATTTTAGTGTAGATGTACTGGACGAAGGGGTAATTCACATCCCTGGCAAGATGACACACAGTTCTATCATGTTGTTCCAAATGGTGCACAATTTAAAACTTAAGAATTATTTACTTCTGGAATTTTCCATTTAATATGTTTGGATTGTGGTTTATGGCAGGTAACAAACTGTGGAAAGCAAAACTACAGATAAGGGCATCTGTTATACCATAGGCTTTTCCTGACTTAGGATCTCTTGTTCGTCTTGGAATATCTGACAAAGATGTGAAAAAGAGTTACAAATAAGCCTTGTGTATTCTATAGTTTTTATTAGTGAAGTGTAATTCTTTTTTTTTTGTATTTGACTTTTTTGTTTTTTTAAATTATTTTTAGATATATATATATATGACAACAGAGTATATTTTGACATACATACATGGAGTATAACATTCTAATTAGGATCCCACTTTTTTTCCAAGAAAAGACAATTTTTATTTTTTTATTCAACTATCATAATACTTCATAGGTATAAATACAATTATTTATCTTCATAGAACCACTGTGTTATCATGAAGGTAAAAACACAGACCTATGCAACATCATAATTTCAGGGCAAAGTGCATTTTTAAAATGCAACCAAAATAAACATAAAAAGGAACTTTTTAGTTATTTTACACAATTTCCAAGCATGGAGCTCAAGGATCCCATTTTTATGGTTGAACATGATGTAGAGTTTCATTGTGGTGTATTCATATATGACCAAAGGAAAGTTATGTCGAATTCATTCTACTGTCTTTCCTATTCCAATTGCCCCTCCTTTCCCTTCATTCCACTTTGTCTAATCCAGTGAACTTCTATCTCATCCTCCATTGTGTTAGCGTCCTCATATGAGAGAGAACATARTAAAATGTAATTCTGAGAAATGGGTTTTGAAAATTTGGATTAGATAATSTTTATTAATTTTAAATTTCATTAGGTGGTTGTAATCTGAAGAATAAATCTACTCAGTCATTGGAATATTGTGCTGAACTACTGGGTTTGGACCAAGATGATCTTCGTGTAAGTTTAACCACAAGAGTYATGTTAACGACAGCAGGGGGCACCAAAGGAACAGTTATAAAGTAAGTCCCTTAATTGCACTGCAAAATTCCTGTTTTGCATTTTCTCAAGGAGATGTATATACGTTTTGAAAATAAAGATTTAAGATTGATCTTTATGTATCATTCATTCTTTTCATTTTAATGTTCTCAAAGATATACTTGGTAGATCAAAAATCTGTGCATCTTACTGCAGTAATCCATCATATAAATAAATSGGGATTTGCATAACTCTTAAAAATTGTTCCTTTTAGATATTCTGCATGGCACATATTTGAAATTCATAAGGTAAGAGAGGGATTTACTTGCGAACAACTACAAAAATGTGAATTGATTATTTAAATCAATATCTGACTGTTTGGGGTAATAGATCATTTTACTTAACAAGTGATTGCCCGTGCAAATATTGTATACTAAAACTTCCACTAAGTTGAACTTACTTTAGCAAAATATGCAGCAAGTGGAACCTCTCCTTACTGAGGAGTCTTCATTTAGAGGAAATTACAAGATAACAAGGGCCTAGCCAAGATTTTTGAAATCAGTAATCAAGAACTTGTAGATTGTGCCTAGATATGTGTATAGTTTGGCTCAATAGCCTATACTTTATGCATTTTGATTTTAATCTATGCAATAATATTTATATTTAGGCTTAGCATTGTGTGTTACTATACGAACTCCTAAGTAGTAGGGACTACAGGCATGTGTTACTCTACCTGACTAAAAGAACATACAAAAAGGTATTTTATCTGCTTAAAAATTTACTACCTCTTACATGTTTGGAAATAGAAGCAAGATATGCGTAGCCTGATCTTTTTTTTTTTTTTTTGCTAAACTAATTCTAAATTATTTGTACTACAAAGAAAAGCTCTGTAAGAAATTTGTATAGCATTGTCCTAAAGTTCCTTAATTTCTTGTTTTTTTAAAATTTATTTTAGTTGTAGATGGACATAATACCTTTATTTTTTTAAATTTATTTTTTTCTGTGGTACTGAGGATTGAACCCATTGCCTCACACATGCTAGGCAAGTGCTCTACCACTGAGCTACAACCCCAGCCCCAATTTCTTGGTTCTTTAGAGAAGAAACCAAATTCCAAGGGAAAACCCATAAAGGTCATGGATTGAGTGGTTTTAAGGTACTGCTTCCTTTGTTTCCCCATTTCCACTTTATTCCAAAGCAGTTCTTTTACATGTTTTCTCTAAAGGGTATTCACATAAACATCCCTTCAAGAAATGTCCCATGGCAGACAGTGAACTCAAGTGACTTATTTCAGAAAAAGTTGGGCTTGGTGACATGTACCTGTAATCCTAGCTATTCAGGAAGCTGAGGTAGGAGGATTTCAAGTTTGAGGGCAGACTTGGCAGTTTTGCCTGACACAGTCTCAAAATAAAATAGGATGGGGATGTAGTTCAGTGGTAGAGTACTTGCCTACTTGCCTAACATTTATGAGACCCTAGTTTTAGTACCTAGCACTATCACTGTGTGCGTGTGTGCATGCATGTTGGGGTGGGGAGAATGGGACTCTTGCAGGAATGTTAAGTATAAAAAAACACTATTAGAGGGAATTCAAATATCAGGTTTATTCAAATGATTTTTAAAGTAACTTCGAAATTTTATCTTTTTTTTCTTTTTTGTACTCTCATAGTGACACATGCTTATCATTATGATAGCATTTAGTGTGGTGTTAGGAAATTCTCCTTTATGCCAGTCTCTCTTCATCAAAATGTAATTTCTTAAGAACATAGGTCRTATATCTGTATGTGCAACATCTAATACTGTTGTATCATATGTAGTTACTAATATGGTAGAGTTGGACAGTTCAAATTTTAAGGAGTAACTAAATATTTTTCTTGAACAAGGTAAATAAATTACCAGACTTCAAAGTTATTCTGAATTAAACAGTTTCTTTCACATTTAAGAAAGTCAAAAGGAAGATTATTCCTCTGAGTAATTTTTCCCTACTCATCATGTAAAGTGAAATGTAAATTAAAGTTAAAATGATTTTTCAAGCCTGAAGTTTTTTTTAATCAGCAGGAAATTTTTAAATCTAATTTTAGATGGTTCCTTTAGTTCTTTTTTTACAGCTCTCTCTCTAGCCCTGTTTATCTGTGCCTATTCACATATGACCCTTGGTAACTGTTTGTTCTTCACAGTGAATATGTTTAGGTACATTTAACTTTGGGTATTTGATATTTTTTCACACTATGTTCCCATAAGGAATTTTCATTGATATAGTCTTTTTTTGCAGGGTCCCCTTGAAAGTGGAGCAAGCAAACAATGCTCGTGATGCCCTGGCAAAGACTGTCTATAGCCATCTTTTTGATCATGTGGTCAACAGAGTTAATCAGTGTTTTCCTTTTGAAACTTCATCCTATTTTATTGGAGTTCTAGATATTGCTGGTTTTGGTAAGTACAATTCTTTTGTGAGTTTATTTTTGTTTGATATTTCTTTGCACATATAAGAATATATATATTTTAAAAAGCCTTTATCTCCTGTAATACCTTTTATTTGATATATTTTCAATTGTATGTTCAAACTTGCATTTTATAATATGATTTGTATAGAAAGTTGATAGTTTTTTAAAAAGGGAAAGATTCTTTAAGTCTTAAGGAMAAAATTAAAACATGTTGATTAAAACCACCATAATTTAGGGGCTGGGGTTGTGGCTCAGCAGTAGAGCGCTCGCCTAGCATATGTGAGGCGTTGGGTTCAATCTTCAGCACCACATAAAAATAAATAAATAAAATAAAGATATTGTATTCAACTACAACTGAAAACAAAATATATATAGATTAAATGTCTCTGCTTAAATGAATACATCTGAAATAAAGGTGAAAATCAGTGCTACAAATTCAGATAATGTGACTAATGTAGATAATAAAGTCACTAAAACCATGGTTGAACATGTAGAGCTGGGTAAACGTTCACCTAAGATATACAGGTTAACCTCATAATTGTAAGAATTCATTGCTAGTGTTAATTGTCAACAAATAACTATTTCTAGTTCATATTCCATCAAATGAATAAGATAACAAATTATTGTGAATCACTGTGGAATGGTTCAACCAGAAATTAAATGGGTTACTGAATACAATCTGAACACTGCTGTGTTCTGAATGACTATGTTATTAAAATCTTGAAGTAAATCTGATGGGTTTTGTACTGGGCTTTATTGATATCAGGTGTTTCTTCTGGCTTGCGGATTGGTATGTTTCTCTTTGTGATTTGTTTGCCTTTGCCAACAGAAGATAAGTATTTACATTTTGAGAGGCTCAGAGTTTTGCTTTTGTTTTTATGTGATGTAATAGGTATTTTAAAATTTATAATGAAATACTACCTTTTGTTCAAAGATAGATAACCCCCATCACTGACTTCTTAAGATTTCACAATCTTTATACATTTGTTTGTATACTAGTCTATCAGTTTTAGCATGATACACACAGAGATTCATAAAATTTTAGAACCCTGTAGATCTTAGATATTATGTAATATAATTTCAGAAGTGAATCAGTATTTATGGTATTTTTGATAATTGTAATTTTATAGATAATTTTTTTATGTCATTTGGGCTTTGAATTGCTTAAATACTCATGCTTTAAAAATTATGTTACAACTGGCTTACATTTTGTTATTATACTATATAATTTATTTCACCTGCCAAACAGTTTTTTGTCCAATTAGAGAAAGGAATTTTTATTTCTCAATTATAGTGTCTCATACAATTTATCTTAAAATAAGAAGACTTGGGGAGTATAAAACAATTGAATATATTTTTAAAGCCCAATTTTAAATTGATCTGTTGATACAATAATGTTTTATTTTATGGGATAAATTTATATGAAGTTGAATTGATGATGATTCTTTGTGCTGGCTCTTAATTTTCAGAGTACTTTGAACATAACAGTTTTGAGCAATTTTGCATCAACTATTGTAATGAAAAACTTCAACAATTTTTTAATGAAAGGATTCTGAAGGAGGTAATAATTTTTACAATTTAAAATCCAAATTAAGCTATTTTAAATTTCAAGGAAGAGAGTCATGCCATAGTTCCCCAATTGCTGGAGTATAATGAAAGGGTGGTCCAGGAATCAGGGAAGCCCAGCAGATGTTATGGTTCAGCCAAAGTTTAGGGACTGGTAAAAAATGAATTGGTACTTCCTCAGAAGTTCTGCTTGTTTTGTTTTCCTTCTCTTTTCTGATTATGATTGTCTTTAATTCTTTCACTGCTGTACAACCTTCTTCTCTCATCTCTGAACATGGCCTTTCTTGCCCTTTTCCCCAAGCTTTGGGTTACTCTATTGCCCACTCTGTAGGGAGTGGCAAAGGTACCGGGTCAGTAGATACCATATATCCATTTGCCTCTGGACAATACTTTTCTTGCCATGTTAATTTGTGGACTGCCAGTTGCTTGTGAATAGCCTGCCTTTGGTTGGCCACAATCTCTGGTCCAGTAAGGAACTTCTTGCTATTGCTTATAGTAAATAACTGTGGGCATACCACACATAGCTAGGGAGTTTCTTTATAATTCTTTAGTGTGCAGTAAAAATAAAAGTAGCTTTGGAATAGTTGGTTGTGATTAGGTTCGTTATTTTTTCCTTTAAATCTGAATTCTATAATATTTTTTACCAAAACCCTTGACATTCCTTCCTTTGTACTATTAGAGATATGTTTTTCTGAAAAAAGATAAAGGGACTGATAGGTTATCTAGTCCAGTTTTTTATTTTACAGATGAAGAAACCAGTTCCCAGAGCATGTTTGTAACTTCTGCCTCCTTTCCTGGCTGCTGGCCCACAAACCTTTAGTTTCTTTATATTAACACTTATATTTTCTGAGTTCCGTACTCTACTGTATTTGGGCTGAAGTGTGCAGAATTTTATTTCCTAACTATTTATTCCTATTCCTATCCCATCTGTCTTTTCCCACAATTTTATTGTGTTTTTGTCTCTGTGGGATTTCATTCCACACATTCCAGCTTTTGTATGGGTTACTTATATGTTGTAGTTAAACCAATTTTGACCGTAAACAGACAGATGAAACAGGTAAGATAGTTCTGAAAACGTTTTACCCAACTAAATTAGTTTTTCCAATACCATGTGAAATTTTATGTGCATGACTCTCATTTAATATACACTAATCCTTCTTTCTACACCACCCAGCAAGAATCTTTATCTAGAAATAGGAACTCTATAAAGAGGAGACACTGTCTTGATTTATATTTACTTTCATAATAATCCTCTAAATATAAATGTGAATTTCAAATTCAGATTGGGTTCAAGTGAAGAGTGCCCTCCAGAATGTCAGAAAGCATTTCTAGTATAAYTCATGAATGGAAATATTTAAATTGATGAGAAAATGTTAGAACATACAAACTTAAACTTATTGAGTAGCATACCCATCTAATAAAATCCTTTAAATTTTCTTTTCAAAAAGTTACTAAATTWATATCTAGGAATTCAATTTTTATTTGTACATTATTCTTCCAAATTTTGTTTCTTTTCTACCTTGTATAATATTCCTGTATAGGTACTTATAATTCATTTCCAGTTAATTATTATTACCTTTAATGTTTGTCTGCAAATATTTAAAATTTACTTTGTCTTAGCTGGGTGTTATGGTGCATGCATATGATCACAGTTGCTCAGGAGACTGGGGCAGGAGAATCACAAGTTCAAAGCCAGCCTCTCCAGCTTAGTGAGACCCTGTCTCAAAATAAATTAAAACGGTTTGGAATATAGCTCAGTAGTAGAGTATATCCCTCCCTGCCAGAAAATTTTCTATCTTTGGAAAACCATTTAAGGTTATAATAGTTGGTTTAAACTTTTGCATTTTAATTAGTAAATGTTATGATTCGAAATGACACAGAAATTAACTACATTTCATATTGCACTTTGTTTATGTATTTATATTTCTAGGAGCAAGAACTCTATCAAAAAGAAGGTTTAGGTGTTAATGAAGTACATTATGTGGATAATCAGGACTGTATAGGTATGTATTTTTTATTCTATTTTTGKGAAATGTGTSACAGTATAGCAAGTGCATTTGCTAGTCACTTTTCTGTGTTCTGTGACTTATATTAGTAGCCATGGGACTTGAAACTAGTATCTGAGGGATGTTTATCTTTTTATTTAAATTTTTTTAGTTATACATGGGCACAATACCTTTATTTTGTTTATTTATTTTTATGTGGTGCTGAGGATCGAACCTAGGGTCTCACATGTGCGACGCGAGCACTCTACCACTGAGCCACAAACCCCAGCCCCAGGCGTGTTTACTTTAAAAAAAAAAAAAATATATATATATATATATTTTTTTTTACTTGTCAGTGGACCTTTTAAAAATTTTATTTATTTTTTTGTAATTGTAGATGGATAGCATGCCTTTATTTTATTTCTTTATTTTTATGTGATATTAAGGATCAAACCTAGCACCTCATATATACTAGGCAAGTGCTCTACCACTGAACTATAGCCCCAGCCTCTTGATGGACCTTTATTTATTTATTTATTTATTTGAGGTGCTGAGAATCGGACCTAGTGACTCACACATACTAGGCAAGTGATCTACCACTGAATTAGAACCCTATCCTGGAAGTTTACTTTCTTAATACTGCTTGCAATTTATTTTTCCTATCAAGACATCASATTCAGATTTGTTGAAACTTTTTCTAAAAACTCTTCTATTTATTGTGTTTTTACTTAAAAAGCCTAAAGTGTGAACCAGTTTGGAGGAGACTCAGTTGCTCAGGCAGCAAAGGGATTTATTGTCTCTCATGACAAACTCCATAATTAGGCTRGGCTCCAGGTGAAGATTGTCAGAGATTCCCTTGGTTCTACTCTCCTCTGTGCACCATCTCAGAGGTTGCACGTTGGCTTTAGAAATTCCATGTGTCACATCCACAGAATACTGTGTGGCAGAAGGGTCTCTGTTTTCCTTGCCTTTTTTCTTTTTTAGCAATAAAGAAACCTTCCCCTCTAATCCCCCAGCTAGCTTTTAGTTCTCCTTTTTTTCTACCCCATCTTTAAAATCAGCTGTTTGCAAGGGGTCTTTTGACAATCTGGTCAATAACTCATGTCTAGGCTTGGACAACATAGAATAATAATGATGATGATACTTTTTATATTTATATTAAATTATATTAGTCATATATATTAAGAAGTTGCACATGCTCCCTCGTCTACTCAGAATACCCCTCTTTTCTCATCTCTGTGCTTTTGACTGGGTGGTTTGCTATCTGCCTGGAATTCATCCCCTTCTGAATCTTTCAGCCCACCTCTGCCTCCTTCTACGTCTATCAGAATACTCTCATTATAACATGTCCCTCCTTTACAACTGTTAATTACCCAAGAAGCATTATGTTCTGATCAAGGCAGTTAGAATCTTAATTTCTCTTCCTGTGTCTTGGAGCTCTGTCCCATTCAACAGTTTTTATATACTCTACTCAAGGAGATTACATTTTATAGTTATTTTGGACAGACAGAAAATTCAAACAGCATTAAGGAAAGGAGCATATAAATGTGCTGTTCCTGAAAAGTTTTGCTTGAAAGCATTAAAATCAGTTTCTAAAACTAGTATTGAAAGCTCTGCATGCAAAAGCTTCTGTAGTTTTACTTAATTTTGAATGTAGATGTCATCTGGAAAAGGGGAGAATTTCTGGTTTCTTTCCCTCTTATCCTTGTTTACAGTGGAATGGTTATTACATTTTAATTTTCTTTATTGAGTTATTTTCTAAAATCTATATTAAAAGTATGATGTGACCTTCTAACAAATGGCCAGTTTGAAATAAAAATGCATCTGCTCTCAATAGTCTTTGATAGAATACTTTCAGAATCATCTGTTTCATTGTTTCCAACCAGTCCTTGAAATTTGAAATTTGTCATGTTATCTTTAAAGTGTTGTTGTTTTTATCCTGAGTGTTTTCTTTTTTTTGAAATAGATTTAATTGAAGCAAAATTAGTTGGAATACTGGATATTTTAGATGAAGAGAACCGCCTTCCCCAGCCAAGTGACCAGCACTTTACATCTGCAGTTCACCAGAAGCACAAGGACCATTTCCGACTCACTGTGAGTTTGCCATTCTTAAGTTGAGACACTGGTGGGAAAAGAAATCTTTGAAAAGGTGCACCAGATAGCAGATATTAATAGATCATTAGAATCATAAATTATGTAAGGTTTGAAGTAATTCTCTCATATCTAGCATCAGCTAGATTCAAACCAAATTATGTAAGGTTTGAAGTAACTTTCTCATATATACAATGTTTTATAGATGGACATTTAATTTATATATATATTTCCTGATGATATTGCTTTATATGGATCAAGAATCTTTTTTCTGGCTAGAAAGTATATACCTCGAACTTGTGATCCTCCTGCCTCAGCCTCCTGAGTTGCTGGGATTATAAGAGTGGCATCACTGTGCCCTCTTTGAGTGTTTTTGCTTGAATTATCTCACTTTGTCCTATTAGTCTATTTGTGCTACAGACAAGCAGACAAGCAGGGAGAAGTTAAGTAATACTCTCGCATACATATGAGGAAGTGTTGAGTTTGAGAGGCAGATGAGGCAGTTGGCTACAGAGCCTTCTCCCTGACTTGTTCTGGTCTGTTGCTTTGTATGGAGAAAAGCCTGTGTTCTGTGAGCTCTCAGACCTTGATTAAGCCCATAAAGTTCCCACTCTCATTCTTATTTTATTTATTTATTTAATATTTATTTTTTTGTTGTAGTTGCACACAATACCTTTTTTTTAAAAATTTTTTAATGTGGTGCTGAGGATTGAACCCATGGCCCCACACATGCTAGGTGAGCACTCTACTGCTGAGCCACAACCCAGCCCTTATTTTTTATTTTTAAATGAGATTTTTTTCCCTTTACTTTAGGTTATTTTATGGGTCAGATGTGATTGTGTGTGTGAAGGTGTTTTGGAAACTTGAAATGATTCAAATATGACATACCGTATTCAGATGGTACAATCTTAAAATGATTTAATTTTTTGGAAATAAGTTTGTGCTTTTTATGTAAACATGTTAGGATGTACAGTGGGAGAGTCCCTGTACTGATCTCAGGTATTTATTACCTAGCTGTATCTGGAAATCATCTGATTAAATGCTATGGGCTTTAGTGGATTTTAAAAGTTCTCTGGGTGATTCTAACAAGTACCAAAGTCAAAAACCGCTGCTTTTGAAATATATAAATAGGCAGTTAACTTTATAAAATGCCAACTATGTCTTGCATGTACTTCTAATGATGGGATTTTGTTTTGTCTGTGTTTTTTTTAATTGGTTGTTCAAAACATTACAAAGCTCATGATATATCATCTTTCATACATTTGACTCAAGTGGGTTATGAACTCCCATTTTTTACCCCAAATACAAATTGCAGAATCACATCGGTTACACACTCACATTTTTACATAATGGCATGTTAGTAACTGTTGTATTCTGCTACCTTTCCTATCCCCTACTATTTTCCTATCCCCTACTATTTTCATTTGTTTGTAGTTTTGTCTTACACCTGTTTTTTTCCCCTAGAGATTATCACCAGAAATTTGCTAGAATTCACTAATACTCTAAGGTATATCCAGATGCTTAGAAAGCACTATAATTGTGAAGATTCCCTTTATAATTTTAAGTATTTTATACCTCAAACATTGTGTGAAGGACACCTAAGTAATGTATTTTTCATAATTTAATAACTTATATATGTTTTTTCAGATCCCTAGGAAGTCTAAGCTGGCAGTACATAGGAATCTGAGAGATGACGAAGGCTTCATTATCAGGCACTTTGCAGGGGCAGTGTGCTATGAGACAGTGAGTATAATACTATAGTGTACAATATGATAGCTTCTAGTTGGCTATTTAAGTTTAAATAAAATTAAAAATTCAGTTCCTTAGTACATTAGTCACACTTCAGGTGCTAAATATCCATATTGACTAGTAACTATTTTGGACAGTACAGATATAGAACATTTCTTTTATCAAAGAGAGGGTTCTATTAGACAGTGATGAATTAAGGGACATTTATCATAAGATGAACTAAAACATTCTATTTGATTTGTTTTTCAGACCCAGTTTGTGGAGAAAAATAATGATGCTTTGCATATGTCTCTTGAATCTTTAATATGTGAATCCAGGGATAAGTTTATACGGGAATTATTTGAATCATCCACAAATAACAACAAAGATACAAAACAAAAAGCAGGAAAACTTAGCTTCATCAGTGTGGGAAACAAATTTAAGGTATTTGTGTTAAATAACTTGAAAGTTTTTGCTGTATTTAAAATATATTATTTTATATTCTAAAGTGGATAATTTAGATCATTGTCATAAATCCCACAAGTGAGTTTTAAGAGAACACCCTGCTTTGTTGATACTTATATGCAAAATATCAAAACATAGCCCCTAGTCATTAAATATACAGAAATGCTAAAGATTTTCTAAATGTGTTCTTTCTTGGTGCATAACATATCTGATTGCTGCTCCTAATGTTCTTGCTTCTGCATACTGTCTAGTTGACCTTCAATCCTTCTCTTTCCCATGTGTTTTCTGTTTCCTTCCTCATTCAGCAGTTTTGTTTAGCTGGAGTAGTTCAGCTCGGGATGGCTAGAGAGGACTAGTTGAGTTGAGAGAGGAAAAGCAGGCACAGCCAGGGGCTTCAGGTAAATGATCGCCTTCATGGACTCCTATTTATAGAGTGGCTGCCATGTTAAAAAGAGCCGGTCTCAAGTTAATGATGCAGTTTATAATTCATTTCAACATGTTTTCTCTCACAGTGGCATTGTGGGCATGCATCTTGTACTAAAATTTAATTAAAGCTTTTGATAACTTCTGCAAACGATAATTGCTCAGGTGTGGCAAACTCTTTAAGTTGCTTATTTAACATTAAAGAATATTTTATTTATTAATTTTGAGTCACATTTATTCTTTGAAATCTGACAAGGAATTGTCACAAGGTTTGTCTTAGAAATGGAGTACTACTAATTAGTTATAAAAGTAGTAGTATAAAAATAATTTAAAAATGTTTATAGTGTAAGTTTAAAGATCAAGAAACTATCATGTGTAGAACAAAGAAATAGAATTAATTTCTGTTTTACACATCTCCACACAGTAAAGTTATTATATTTGAAATAAATTATGTATTTGCCTTTTGAAATATGTACTTTAAATACTAATATGATGTAATTAGTATCATGGTACTAACTTTAGTATAAACCTCGAATCCTTTTTGGATTGAGATGGGCTCTAAATAATGATTTGAGAAAATCATATGTGTAAAACCTAGGTTTTAAAAAAATAGCTTACACATAAATATAAGAAAAATTAATAATATGTTTTTAGATAGCCAAATAAAAATATTTGAATTTTGTTATGTTATATTCATTAATTATAAGTTTATGTTTTACTCAGTAGGCAATATGTTTTCTCTTATTTGAATATTCTTTTATTCCAGATTGGACATTTGACAACAGATTGGTTTAAAAATAGTTTGTTAGTGGAATGTACCCATAGTTGTAGCTAGTCAGATGGCTAAGGCCAGAGTATTGCACGAGCCCAGAAGTTCAAGGGTCAGACTGGACAACATAGCAAACCCCATCTCAAAAAAATTTTTAAAAAAGAGGACATTTGCTGCTATAAAGTGGATAACATTCATTAAGTTTTTTCCTACTGTGATACTGTAGTAGTTTTGCTGATAAGAACATACTTGAAATTTTAGATAACAGAATTATAACCAAAAACATTATTAAAATTCTTCTTTGCTTTAAATAATCTTTTATGTTGAGCCTTTGAAGTGACTTAAAATTGTTTATGTAAGCCAGGTATGATGATGCATGCCTGTAATCTCAGTGACTAGGGAGGCTGAGGCACGAGGATCAAGTTCAAAGCCAACCTCAGCAACTTAGTSAGACCCTGTATCAAAATAAAATAAAAAGGGGGTGGGGATGTGGCTCAGTTGTTAAGTACCCCTAGGATCAATCCCTGGTACCCCTAAAAAGTATATATATAATAATTTGTATTTTTATGTTCACTGCTGAAAGCTATAACTGAGTGATAACTATAACAAAAGATTTCACATTTTTCTAAGATACCTTGACGTGAAATTTTAATGTTTCTTAATTTTGAATATAGTTGGATAGCTCATTAAATTTGAGGCATGTAAGGCAATAATACAAAATAGGCTACTACATTTAATGTAGTATTTCAGTTATACAACATTACAGGAAACAAAATTTTTCATGATATTTTCAAATGATTGAAACATAACCCTTTTATTGTATTTTAYAAAAAATCATTTCTTTTTGATGGAAGCATTCTTCTATTATAAATATGAATATTTGTTCTAAATAAAATATGTTCTAAATAAAATAAAAATGAACTACGAATTGCCTAAGGCTATTTACCCATATGCTTTATGGTCCTTGACTATTGTTCTTCCATAATTGACTTTCTTTTCTCTTTTCTCAGCTGCTGTTAGTTTATTTTTTCTTGTTTCTACTCTTCTGACTGCCTCCTTTATGGGGGAGAACACCATGCTTAGTTTGTGGATGAAGGAGCATGGACTTTGTGAGCATTGTTTTCTTTCCAGAATAGTGGCTCTCATACTTGCTTTTCAGTAATGTGAGGGTCCTGATTGATTAAGGTTGTCACAACTCTGTCAGCCAGATAAGTGGTGTATATCTTTAACGACAAATTTATTTCATTTTAATAACATAAGCCTATGGTATGTGTGGTATACTATAGCATCACAGACAGGAGAATGAAATTTGGTGTCATGCCTTTGTCATTACTAGTTCCATGATCTTGGGCAAGTTATTTGTCTTCCTAACATCAATGCTGTACCTGCAAATTGAGGCTAATAATACATCCTCAATTAGGATTGTTGTGTTTTATTCCTAATTGWCTTAAATATGGCAATGCTCATGAAAAGCTTTGAGCAGTTGAACAGTTCCTTACTCATAGGAAGTATTCAGTAAAGTGTAGCTGTTAATTTTAATTATAGCTATGATCAATATASTATATTAAGAATTAACATTATAATTTAACTTTTCTAAGTAATATAATAAGCATCTCAGTATAAAAATCCAGATAAAGAATTTTATGAAATTAATTTACTTTGCAGAGTAGTGAAGCAAATAAATGGTTTTAAGGTACTGAGCCAGAGTAAAATAAAATTAATATTATAAAATCAGGAAAGCATAGTAATTTGTATTTATTATCAATTTTTTTTGAGAAAGTTGTCCAAGTTTTAAAAAATATTTGAAATGTGAACTGTTTTAAAACAGTAAGGAGAATTTCTATAGCTAGAYAAGACAATTTTGTTTATGTCAAGTGTTTCATGAAATATTTCTAATTCATACCAATAATGAATATATTTTTTTAAAAAATTTTTTTAGTTATAGTTGACAATATAGYTTTATTTATTTATGTATCTATTTGTTTATTTATATGTGGTGCTGAGGATTGAACCCAGGGCGTTGCAYGTGCTAGGCGAGCCCTCTACCGCTGAGCCACAACACCAGCCCCAATAATGAATATTTTAAATGTCCTCATTCTTAAGAGCCTATGACACAAACTACACCTAGTTTGCCACATGTTAAAACACTGAATTATTGATCTCACATTGAATGCATCCCCATATTTTCATTAACTTCCTTCATTGCCTATATAATTTTTCCTCATTTCATCCTACATGCAAATTTGTGTATTTTTWAAAAATGTTACTAATTTTTAGTCTTTTAATTATACGAGGCCTGTGTAAGTAAGTAAAGTTATTGACCTTGACATTTCATTATCCATTTTGCATGATGCTGTTAAAGAGTTTATGTGCCATCAGGTTGTTAAATTGTAATGTGTTATATGTGGATGTTATTGCATGTTATTTTATTCTAATATGGGAGAATTAATATTAACTTATGTCACTGTGTTCTTTGGTTTTTGAAATAAACTGATTTCCTTTCTTTTACAGACACAGTTAAATTTGCTTCTGGATAAACTTCGAAGTACTGTGAGTACATTTAAGAAGAAAGCAGGTTTCTTTGAATGGTCCTCTAAAACTATTATATAGTAATTATCTAAGTAAAGAATAGTAACCCTGGAATAATTAAAAATATATTTTAGGGCTGGGGTTGTGGCTCTGGGGTAGAGTGCTTCTCTCAAATATGTGGGACACTGGGTTTGATCCTCAGCAGCACACAAATAAATAAAATAAAGGTATTGGGTCCACCTACAACTAAAAAAAAAATTTATTTTAAAAATATATTTTACACCAAATTTCCTTTGTTAAAAAATCAGTTTTTAAGATGATGATTATTCTGGTTAGGTTTTTTCCTGAAGAGAAGTTAAATATGTATGTGAAGACAAATTATTTTGTAAATATGTAGAACTCTTAAGTTTTATTAAATTAAGATTAGCCTATAGTTTCAAGAAGGTGAAAAATATTTTGTAATTATGGAGTAGAATGATGAAATGATGTTTTTATTTTTAGGACTGCAAATAAGGCATTATAATTTACCCTTATTTTGTTACTCTTATAGTATAACATCCTACAGACATGGCAATGTGATGTGGAAAAATATGTACATGATATTTTTATGTCCTTTTATAAAGGCAAATCTACGAGGAGTCTTTTTTTTTTTTTTTGCTGAAGACTGAACACAGGTCTTTGTGCATGGTAGGCAAGTGCTCTACCACTGAGGTACATCCCCAGCCCTTTTTATTTTTTATTTTGATGCAGGGTCTCACTAATTTGCCAAGGCTGGCCTCCAGCTTACAGTCCTCCTGCTTTAGCCTCCAAGTAGCTGCAATTACATATGTGCACCAACATGCCTGGCAGGAGGCTGTTTTTAAACTATACATTTTAGGGATTTACCCTGATTTTTTAAATGAAAAATAAAAACTTGACATAGAAAGATATTTAGTATATGGATTATATAAATTAAGCATGATTCCAAACAAATCTACATAACTTAACTGACTATTCTTTCTTTTCAAATACTAATGATTTTGAAAAGCCAGGCATTTATTTTGTCAGAGCTACTGTTGCTTAGCTTACTGTTAGACTTGCTTTTGGAACCATTCAGAAAATCTTTTCAATATTCTCATTGGCTGCAAGTGTTTATCTCTTAAAGATCAAGCATGTTTATAAACCAAGTCTGATGAAGAGGGTATAGAGTGCTACTCTAAAATATTACTTCTGTGATAGAAACATGTTCTAAAATTTTTCAGTGAGCATCACCTTTGATGTAATTCTTGTTTTGCAAGGTGACTACTTTGAAGAGAAGCTGCTATTTGAATGTCTAGCATGTTAGCTTCAGCACACAAAAATTTCTTTGTATACCTAATCAGTATTCTCTCTCCCTCATTCAGCATAATCTGATAACCAAATGAATGATTTTAAGCTTTTTCAAGCTTTAAATGTCAATACTATGCTAAGACATTTTTTAGTTCCTTAGTGGTTATTTTAAAGTTTCATGTGTTAATATGCTTTGAAAGTTTCTGGTATTTGTAAAAAYAGAAAAACAAGAAGGCTATATGTATTATCTCAAGAGGTGCCTTTGTTCTCCTAGGGAGCAAGTTTTATTCGTTGCATCAAACCTAATTTAAAGATGACAAGCCACCACTTTGAAGGTGCTCAAATTCTGTCTCAACTTCAATGTTCAGGTATTTCCATATATTCATAATCTGTGTCACTGTGTGTCAGTAGTCATAGCTTAAGTGCARTTTAATAGGACCAATGATTTCAAGTAATTCACCATTACCTTGGTTATTTTTAAGTGTAATAAGATTTTTATCTTATTTTCTTTGATTCTAAGAAAAGCATGGGTGGCAAATTATTTGAGTAATATTGKGTTATGGTTTATTGTGAAATAAAAGCATTTTACATAATTGTAGTAAAATGTTATAAAATCACTTTAGTAGAAAACCTGAATCTCCCTTTTGTAAGCTGCTTTCCTATTATCTTCTCAGTCCAGTAGCACTTCATTTCTCATTCCCTACGCAGCTAGAGTAGGAAGTTTGTTTTGTTGTCCTTGCTTCCTCTCTACCATTTGTGAAAAAATAAAAAACAGAATGAAGCCCTTGTTTCTGTGGCCCTTTCATGCATTTGATTAATTCTATCACTTCCCATCCCTATCCCTACACAGCTGACTTGCTACATCACAGAAGTCTCAGGCCCTGGGCTCATTTTTTCCTTTACCCCATGCCTACCCTTCATCCAATACGCCTTTTCCCTGAGGCATCAACCTTCTTACGTTTTGATCCAGCTCAGTCTCCTGAAACTTTCTCAAACTCTCTTGCCTCCGTATTTTACTCTTTGTGGAGGTAGATTTAACCGTGAAATATGGTCACTTATGTTTCAGGGTCGTTCATTGAAATGAACCCTTTTCAAAGCCTGGTACTGAATTTTATATTCTTTAGTAATTTGTAATTTTGTATTTTGTTCCTGAAAGAACCCTCCCCGAATCACATACACTCCAGGCTTCCCAAATCTGGATCTACCTCTCATTGCCTCTTACAAAACCTTAGCTGTCTAAGTTTGTTCTGCCCTTTCTTCTTGTCTGCTTGGGATTGGGAGACAAGTCAGGTTGACACCACTTAAAATTCATGGTCGGTGACCTTTTTGGGCTCTCAAACCTGTCTTGTCAAGTTTCCTTGGTTAGCTTGTTCTGTTTCTCTACAGAATAAACTAGTCTGACCAATCCTGTTCTTAAATCTCTGAGCCTCTGCCAGAAGATGGCCTTACCTCTTTGACAAAAAACTTTAAAGCTTCCAAGAACATGCACCTATCTGAATATCCTTCCTTCCTATTAAGAAAGCAGAAATTGGGCTGGGGATGTGGCTCAAGCAATAGTGCGGCCTGGGTTCGATCCTCAGCACCACATACAAACATACAAAGATGTTGTGTCTGCCGAAAACTAAAAAATAAATATTAAAAAATTCTCTCTCTCTCTCTCTCTCTCTTAAAAAAAAAAAAAAAGAAAGCAGAAATTGCCTCTCTTCCTAGTTGAGGCTTACAGTGCTTTGAAATCCATCCCTACTTTTATTGCAAGTAGTCACCTTGCAATACATATAATCAGCACTGAATACATATGCCTATGTATTATACGTATTGAACCATTCCCTTTGGACATGGATCTCTCTCATTTCACTGAAKTGTGCTTAAATGTGCTAAAAATCTGATCTATGATTTACATTCCCTTCCATCTACTCCCCATCTTTTTTTCTTACCGTGGATAGTTGTTCCCTTTCCTCTCCCACAAATAGTCTATTCTCAGTTTATGCCCTCAACTCACTCTTTAACCTCAAGAGAGTTCAGCTTTTATCTTGATAAGGTCACCAGTGGTTACCTTCTTAAATCGAATGTTCATTTTGCAGTCCTTAGTGGACTTCACAGAATTCGACTCTGACCAGTCTCTTCCACATTTCTTTTCCTTAGCTTCTGAAACAGTGTATGTTCCTATTTTTCTTTGGAATTCTCTGGCCTTTCCCAACTCCTCTACAGGCTCATTTTCTTCTACATGGATAGTATTTCTTAATAGTTTTTCAGGATTTGGGTTTATATATTTTTCTACTCATTTTATATCAACTCTTGTCTAGTAGAATTTTCCAGATGATAGAAATATTCTGTATCTGTGTTATCTAATATGGTAGCCCCTAGACACTGGCTATTCAGCATCATAAATGTGGCCAGTAGGACTTATTTAAAGTTTAAATAAATTTAATTTTAATATTTTAAAATTTAAATTGTCACATGTCTAGTGTACCTACAGAGCTTGTGGCTAGTGACTGCCATGTTGGAAAACACAGGTTATATATTTTCTAAGTCTCCCCTAGCACCATTGACATTACTTCCTAAATAATGAGTCCTATTATTCTCTAGTTCAAGCTGTCATCATCTCCTTCCTGGCCTTTTGCCTTAGCTTTGTAAGTATTCTCTTTGTATCTACTCAGTCTCTTCTTCATATGCAACCCGAATTATTACTTTACAACTCAGCTCTAATCATTGTTTTTACTTGCCTAAAATACTGTAATGACAGTTGGGTGTGGTGGTGTACCCCTGTAATCCCAGCTACTCTGGATACTAATGCAGAAGAATTACAAGTTTGAGGCCAGTCTAGGTAACTTAGACCCTGTTTCAAAATAAAAAATAAAAAGAATTGGGATCGTAGCTCTAAAAACTTCTTATCATCCAATATCAGGACAAAGTACAAAAAGGTGAGAGAAAGTAGGTTGTCTTCCTCTGTGAAACTGAAGCTGTGCTGTCCAGAGAAAGGGTAGTTCTGAGTATACCAGCCAGCAGTGTATGGAACAGCTGTTTATCAGACTCCCAGATTAAGAGCCAGGTCTTGGGAGTTTTTAGAAGAGTATTGACTTATAGTCATTGATTTCTATTTTTCAGCTCAAAAATTAACTTCAAGTATTAAGAAGTCCATTGTAGGCTTAGTAATTTGTTAAGCTCCATGAAATTCTTAATGACCTTCTATGAACCAGTTCATAATTTGCAGAGATAAAGCAAGCCTAGAAACTTAAGAGGTGGTAAAATMTGTGGCAATACCAACCAAACCTTGTTTTTATTTCTCCAAGCAGAGCCTAGAACTAAGTCTAGTTCTGGAATTTTTTTTCTTATAAGAATGATGGTCTTTATGTTTCATTAATCACCATATACTTTATGCTTTTTTATTTAGTTATATTTCTTATACTAATCAGATTAAATTTTGCTCTATTCTTTTAAAATTAATGTGTTATATTCCAGCATATAGTTGTAGCATCTTTTAATCAGGAAACACTACAAACAGTGATCTTGTGGATATCTGGATATTCTCCACAAATATCTTAACTTACAAGTATGAAGGGTTGTAGGGTAGGCTCAGAGAAATATAAATTACTGAACCAAAGGGATGGGTGTTTTCTAATTGCCATCCAAGATTGTTGTCTTCATTTACTCTATGACTGTATGCCTGTGTTATTCTACATAGTCATCAACTCTGAATACTATTGATGTTTTGTACCTTTGCCAGTCAATAGTCTAAAATTAAATATGGTTGCCTAGAAATACTATCTTTCTTATAAGATTGTTTTAAAATAATAATTCACTTAAAAATTTTTAGAGTTTCATTTTTTTAACTAAAATTTTTGACCAGCAGAAATTTATTTTGATATAAAGAAGAAAGTAAGGGTCTAACATTATTTTCATTTTCCAAATAGCAAGCCATTTATCATAACACTATTTATTAAATAATCTATTTTTTCCATTGATTTTAGTAGTCCCAGAGACTAAAATTCAGGTTTCATTGTGAACAAAATCTTGGCATTATCGCTAGTCCTTGAACTTTTCCCAATGTATTTTACATTTTTCCCAATTCCTAAAAGCTCATATTGCCTCAAGGCTCAGATTCACCACTTCTTAGAATTACACTGGTAACAGATATTGATCTTATAGACTTATCATCCCAATAGATTAGTTTCTCTAAGAGCGTCTTTATATTGAGTAGTGAGCTTTCCTTTCCTTTCCTTTTGCTGTTTTTAAGTACTAGGGAGAATTTGGGAATATATTTGACCACTTTTTGGAGACTCTGTTAGAAATGTTGTTCTAAATTTAACCTCAGATCTTTGAAAGTGGACTTCTACTGGGCTTTGTTTGGTATACTGGGATGTAATGGAGAGATGCCTAGCATAAAAAAAGATATAAAATAGGCTGGAGCTTTGTAGAGAACAGTAGTTTGCCTTTAGTGATATTGGTTTTAGATGGAATTTGACTATAGTAATTTTAGGTGGTAGATAAGTTGAGACATAATGATTAGAAGTGTATTCGCTATGTAATYTTTCATTGCTGATGATTTCTGTAAATTGTCCTTTCTTAAATATTAATTTTAAAAATTGGTCATTCATGAGTTATTTTGGACTTCTGCACATGACTGGCTGTGATTTGTGTTTATGAATCTAGGTATGGTGTCTGTTTTGGACTTGATGCAGGGGGGTTTCCCATCACGAGCTTCATTTCATGAACTCTACAACATGTATAAAAAATTTATGCCAGAGAAACTTGCAAGATTGGATCCAAGGCTATTTTGTAAGGTACAAATAGTAAATCTGATTTTACATAAATTAAAAGTTTCTTAGCAGTAAACTCTTTTTTATTAAATATTAGTTGGAATTTAACTTTTTTAACTTTAATTTTGTAGGCTCTTTTTAAAGCTTTGGGCTTAAATGAAATCGACTACCAGTTTGGATTAACAAAAGTATTTTTTAGACCTGGCAAGGTAAATATATTTTTCTTTAAAATTTTATCATCATTAATGCAGATAGTTGGAGTTAGTAAACATTTTTAAGTATCAGTGATTCATATTATTCTTGAATTATATGGTTACTAATGGCATGAAAAAATATATAATGTGTGTATATGTACACACATTTTTCCTATTTGTGAGAAATTTGTAATTTAGATATTATAGTACTCTATATAAATTTTACAATTTTATTCAGTATTAGAATCAGAACATTGTTTAATTGACATTTTTTTTTTTACTTAAAATAGGGCTAACCAGAAAATTTTAACACTTTACACAAATTGAAAACTTTTCTAAAGCATATTAGTCTTCATTGATTTTGAGATTTTGTAGCACTTTGGAGTCTTCATTGTGGGAATAAATTTTATTAGAATATGGTAGATATATAAATTATAGGAAGTTGCTCTGGAGTTTGTATGGATCTCTGTCAAACTCTAGAATGAATATGCAAATACTTTTGTATATAACATAATTTTGGGGGGCTAACATAATCCTATAGTTTTAACATTCAAATCAGTTGTAGAATGCCTTATAACTAAATGTATTTCATACAGAAATACCTAAATGCTGTTCAAAATCTATTACTAATATGATTTTCACCATTCCTTTCTTCTTTAATGTTGATTTAGTAAATTGTATCTTCATAGTTTTAAATACAATTGTTATTGTATTTTAAATAGCCAATAATACTAGTTCAGCTTATCAGAATCATTAATAAATAAATATATTTCAAATATCTTAAGGGTAAATTCATCATAGTAAATCTGATTTTACATTTTTTGAGTATGAGATGAAGTATATGTATATGTTACCATTATATATACTTTCCTGTGAATATTTTTATTTCAGAGAACCCATACCTTTTCCTATGAAAGAAAAAAAATAAGAGGAAAAAAAAATCTATAAATTATAGTTTATGGTTGGCTTAGCTTTAATCATAAATATTTCTCATAAATTCAACTCTTCCATTGTTTCAGAGCTTAAGTAATTATTTAAGAATTAATAACTTTATAAAGAAACTTGTTGGTCTTATTTACCTCTTGAAAAATGAGGATTTGTTGATAGCTTATGGCAAAGATTCAAAGAGAGCTTCAATTCMTTATGTTACCTTTAATTTTTATTATAGCAAATGATTACATTGATGGTTGATGATATTGTGACATCTTAGTATTTTAGTGGGACATTTGATAAAGGAGAAAAGCCATTTTGGAATTTGGTGGTAAATAGTGGAAATAATATATTTTATTTCTTAATAACCAAATAAATGTTTTATCTGTGTTATCTCTGTTAGTAGCAATGTCTTATCTTTGTTCAAAATGGGCCTGGGGATTGGGAATGACAGACTAGTTTTGCTGGAACCTGATAAACATAGCTGAATTTTACTTATCAAGTGCAGTATRTGGATATCCAAGAATGTGGGTGATTCAGTGGGTGAGATATATTAATCCTTTTTCATTTTTTTCCTCAATAAAACCTTTTTGCTGGGTTGGGGCTGTAGCTCAGTGGCAGAGCACTTGCCTAGCACGTGTGAGGCCCTGGGTTCAATCCTCAGCACCACATAAAAATAAATAAATAAAATAAAGTTATTGTGAAAAAAATTCTAAAAAAAGAAACCAAAAACCTTTTTGCTAACCCTCTATAGTTATTTAAGATCATCATTTTCTTTTATTATTGAATCTGTTATTCCTCCCCCTCCCCACACTCCCCTCCCCCCCCAAGAAAAAATGATCCTGAAGGAAGGAAGAAAGGAAGAAGAAAGACTTCTTCATAGAAGAAGTCAAGTGTGTTTGTGTTTGCTATCTACTCTAAAAGATGTCTGTGTAAATTGGCATGCAGCCATTTTCAGAAAGTTAGATTTTGGATTTGAATTATATTTGTTTTCTCTGTGTGTTTAAACACATTTATCTTTTAATACTACTGTTATGTTATTTTTACCTTCTAGTTTGCAGAATTTGATCAGATTATGAAGTCTGACCCTGATCACTTAGCAGAGTTGGTTAAGAAAGTCAATCATTGGCTAGTCTGCAGTCGCTGGAAGAAAGTTCAATGGTGTTCCCTGTCGGTCATCAAACGTGAGTGTTTTCTTTCATTTCAGGATGTTTTATTACTTTGGAAGTAAGGTGGTTTGTGCATGTTATAAGGCTGTCTCAGAGGTGGATGCTAGGCAAGAGGATCGTGATGTTGGTTCACACTGTGTCCGATTCTTCTGGCAGCACTTTGTATCTAGTGTGTATTAGCATTTGTAGACTTTCTATATTTTATTTTTTTGAATGCATGATTCTTATTTTCCCTATCTGAATTTGTTAAGTAATATTAATTTCATTATGTTCTAAACAGAACAGAACTTAGTATCTTGATTCGTTTTTCTCTTTCTCCCCTCAACCCACAATACCACTCTTCAATCTCTCAGATTTAAACCAGAACTTTTTCTGCCTGTGTGGCATCTCTAATACACACTTCAAAAATTTCAGGATTACAATCATCTCTTCTTTCTTATTCCTGAAATCTTGTCAATCATCTGCTCCTACTGATTTATTCTCCAAATACTGTAATTATTTACTTTGTATTCCAGTACCGTAGTGGAGCCTCTTTATCCCACTTGTGTAATAACTTGAGCAGCTCCCAAGCTGGTGTTCCTGGCTTCCCAGAGTCCTTGCTGTATACCCAAAACCAGTAGAGGCAAAGTCTGAATTCTTAGAAGATCTTTCAGGATCCTGTAAAACAGGGTATTGCCTCATCCTTGCATCCTSTTCTACCATTCCCCTTTCAGACCCTGGTCTTTGACGCATTAGACTAAGCTGCTTTTGTCTATGTGCTTCTGCTAGGCCATACTTATCTCTGACCCAAAGCAAGGGTGGGGCAGAATATTTTTTACTTAGTTGAGGGTCAGTGGCAAAAATCTTTAATTTTGGGGCATTGAGAATCTATAATTTGATTAAATTTATAATCCCCCCACCAGAGTACTTGAAATACTGCTAGGTACATGAAGAAGATTCATTAAATTATTCCTTATCAATAGAAAAATGAAATTCCTTTGACATAATGGAGAGAGACCATTTAAACAAAGATTATTACTGAAATCTTTTGTTAGAAAATTATGAATATGGATAAAAAGACAACTATAATAAAGAAAAAGATAATAGAACCTCTTTTCCTCATCATTTTCAAGTAAAATACAAGCATATTTGTTATGGTAATTCAGTGCTTTTATCTGTATGTTGATTATGATGGAGAGTACATTATATTACAATGACCTGTGCTATTCTATGTATTTGTGGATTTAGTTGTACAGATTTACTGAGGTCAGTAAACAGATAAGGATCTTTGCAGAATTTGAACAGGGATGCTCTGAAAAAAATGTTTCAAGGTGACATTGTGTTAGGAAATTGTGGGTACCCAAAGTTAAAAAGATTTCTTTACTATAGGCTTCTCAGAGGCCTCATCCAATATGTTGATTGTGAATTTCCAAAGTGTTATAATAGTGTAAGTATCTTCTAAACTAATTCACAGGTAAATTCTTTTCTAAGGATATACCTGTTCATATTTCTTAGAATAGCATAAAAAGGAAATAATGCATTTCAAGCGCAAATCCAGCCACGTACATGATGTACTTTTTATTTTTAAGAAGTATAACAAATTAAAGAAATGTTAATAAGCATTCAGATTTATATTTCTTGACAATTACTTTTTAAAAATGAGTGCTGATTTAAAAAATATTTAAATTTATGCAATTTAAGTGAAATAATATCATTTACTTTATACTTTCACACAGTGAAAAACAAAATAAAATATCGAGCTGAAGCTTGCATTAAAATGCAGAAAACTGTTCGGATGTGGCTTTGCAAAAGGAGACACAAACCTCGGTAAGATGAATGGTGCCTAAGGAACCCTACAAAACCTAACTATCCTAATGTAAAACAGCAATAAATGCTTAATAAAAAACAGTTTGGATCTCATGCTTTTTGTAAAATTATATGTTAGTCTATTATTTATAATATTTATTTGAAATTAACTAATTTATTCATTACTTGCCTCATCCTACATAAGGATTTGAAATGGCTTACAAAAATGCAAGCATTGTAAAAGATTGAAATAAATAGTTGAAAGAAACTGTTTTGGTTATTTAAGGGATTTGAATTTCTTGATAAAAAAATATCTCTTTGCTATTTTGACCATAATCCTTTCAAGATTATCCATAAGAATTATATTGTTTCACTGTAAATTTGKTTTTTATTTCGTATTTAAACTTTTCATTACTAATTTAGACTTTTTAACCTTGGAGTTCTGAATGACTATTGATTCATCATACCTTTTTAAAGTGATTCTAAGATGACTTCTTCAAGTTCTATGATTTGAATTTTCTCTCAGCTGATAGAAAACCTCAATTGTATTGAAAGGCATCATTGTCATTCACAGCCATATTTCATTTTTCCCCCTCAATAAGAGATCTGAAAAAGAGAATACTAAGAAAAATTGAAAACACAAGTGAAATCTCCAGTTTGGCAATGTATTTTTAGCTTTTTATTAGTGAAAAATTTTCTTATAGCATTAAATGGTAATGTTAATTGACTGATGAAATATTCTCTCTACAGCATTGATGGCTTGATTAAGGTGGGCACGCTGAAAAAACGACTTGATAAGTTTAATGAAGTAGTAAATGCATTGAAAGATGGAAAACCACAGGTGAATAAACAGATCAAAGATCTTGAAATTTCCATTGATGCTTTGATGGCCAAAATTAAGGTATGTAATTTTAGCCCAAATGACTTTGGCTTTTATTTAGTTTAATGCCCTTTGCTATTGGTATTGAAATCATATAGAAAAATGTCCTTATTTTTCCAGTGTTCAAAATGTTGAYAAATGGATGCTCATTATGTTGTTCTTTCTTCTTCTGTGTTTGAAAAGTTTCATAGCAGAAAGATAAAAAGGAATAGTTTTTATGCAGTTTCATTTGTTGTTAGGAAAATATCCCCCCCCCACCAAGAGTAACTAAAATATAATCCTTTGATGCTAAACTTTTGCATAGTCATGATTCATAGAGGACTAATGCTGTTTAGTTTGATGACAGCGTTGGGATAGAAATGAGGGCCTCATATCTGCTCAGCAGGTGCTCTGTCACTGAGCTATATCCCAAGGCCTCCTTGAGATTGATTATTAAAGAATAAAAGTAATATAATATCATTGGAAATTTAAAGAAAGAGTCAAAAAACACCTTTATAGCCATTGCTAGCACAATCGCTAGTACACTATTATATATTTCCCTCAAAATCTTTTTTTATTATGCATACATTTTTATTTTGTTCTTTATATACATTCAGTTTTTAAAATCTCTGTCATTATGTCATATGCTTTTTCAGTATTAATACCTTATCTTCATAGAGACTATAACATAATGGACTGTTATAAAAGTGGTCATAGCCATTTCTGCTTTGATTTTGTAGGAAAAGATGGGGAAGCTTTTGCTTGATTTTTCACTTATATGATTACTACTGGGATTTAAATTTTTCTTTTTTGTATCTAGTGAATCTTTTCCTTAATTACATTGTAAKGTTTTGCTGTTTTTCTCAGCTAGTTTCATAGGTCAGTATATATATGCATATTATAAATTCCTTAAAGTAAGCCTTTTGTCATATTTTATGTATAAGATGTATATTTTACAATGGTAAATCTTTGAGGTAAAAAGGATGAAAATGATCAAGAGAAGAATGAAARCACTGTTGATGGACTTGGCTGATTTTACAGATTTGTCAAGGGCCATCTCTGTTTATGGGGTATCAGTATCAATTAAAATTAACTCAGCCACATTTTTTGAAGGCTAACATAGGAAAATTACCCAACAATTTTAGATGTGAGAGTAATTTCTTAAATATTCCTTAGGTACTGTTGGAACAATATTATTAYAGAGAGTATACTTTGGCTAAATGAATTACTCATTCCTTCCATAAAAAAATAATTTTTAAGTAGAATTATATTGCTTTACCCAGAGTTCACCTACTGTCGGTGACTTAGTTGCTGGTATTAAATAGAATCAAATGTTTGGGGACAGATACAACTTTTTAAGAACAGTGTTTCAATATTATTTAATGTATAAACATTACAGCAAAGATATGGGCTTATCAGCTTTCCCATTTCTTTGTTGTTGTTTGCTTGTTCTTTTTTTCCCATTTGTGTATGTATTGGAGTAGTTTTTTTTAAATTTTGAAAACCATAACTTTAAATTTATTATCTTAACCACACATAAGTGCTCAGGTCAGTAGTGTTGAGCATACTCACATTATTGTGTAACAGAAGAGATCACTTTTCTAAATACATGTTTATTATTTTGTTTTTTAAGTCCACTATGATGACCAGGGAACAAATACATAAAGAGTATGATGCCCTACTTAAAAGTTCAGAGGAGCTTCTCAGTGCATTACAGAAGAAAAAACAGCAGCAGGAGGAAGCAGAAAGGCTGAGGCGTATACAAGAAGAAATGGAAAAAGAAAGAAAAAGACGTGAAGAAGATGAACAGCGTCGAAGGAAGGAAGAGGAGGAAAGGCGAATGTAGGGCATTTATATTGTTTTGCATTAGAAACTGAATTGAAGAGTGAATTCTTGGCAATTTAGACAATGGTTAATGACTATTTCTAAAGCCATATTCTTAATTTAATGAACTAGTTTTAGAATAAATTTRTAATTTGAAAAAATAAGCTTTTATAATAGTTGCATAAAATTATTTTAACTACATGGAGAATCTTTAATTCACAAATTCCAAATATGAAATACTTTATAAAGTCTGATGCTTTTTGGGTGGCATGTTGGTGCTCAAATTGCAAAATTTTAAATTAAAACATTAATTATACATATTAGTGGAATTYGCTGATATTTCCCTATGTCATACTGTGTGCATTTATCAGGTACATCCACGCTTCTTCTGACCCTTCTCACCCTTCAGGTATCCTTCTCAGTCTCTAGTAATCATGATTTTATTTTCAGTTTGACTTGTTATTTGTTTTTTAGTTTTCAAGTATGAGAGAGAACATGTGATATGTGATACTTTTATTTAATAATGATATTCTCTAGTTCCATCCATTTGGCTACATTGACAGGATTTAATTCTTTATGGCTGAATAATACTCCATTGTGTATATATACTGTATTTTTTAAACCCATTCATCTGCTGATAGGCACCCAGGCTGATTCTACATCTTAGTTATTGTGAATAGTGCCCCAGTAAATATGGGCATTAAGGAATCTTTTTACGTATGCTGACTTAATTTCCTTTTGATATGTATCCAAGAGTAGGACAGCTGAATCACATGGTAGCTGTTTTTAGTTTTTTGARGCATCTCTCTGTAGTTTTCCTTAGAGACTGTACATATTTAAATTCCCACCAATAGTATGTAAAGGTTTATTTTTCTTCACATCTTCACCAGCATTTGTTATTATTTTTTGATAATAGTCATTCTAACAGGTGAGATCATATCTCATTGTAGTTTTGATTTGCATTTCCCTGATGGCTGGCTGATAACTTTGAACATTTTTTCATGTATTTATTGACCATTTGTATTTTTTCTTTTGAGAAGTGTCTGCTCAGATCATTTGCCCATTTATTAATTGCATTAACTTCTTCTTTTTAAGTATTTTGAGTTCTTTATATTTTCTGGTGATAACTCTGTCAGATGAATAGCTGATAAATACATTATCCCCTTCAGTTGATCATCTCTTTACTATGTTGATTGTTTCCTTTGCTGTTTATTTTGATGTCATTTCATTTGTCTATTCTTGCTTTTGTCTGAACTTTTGGAGTCCCATACAGAAAATCATTGCCTATACCTATATTTTGAAGTATTTCCCCTGTTTTCTTCCAGTAATTTCAGGTCTTACATTAAGATCTTTGATTCATTTTGAGTTAGTTCTTTTTAGAGTGAGAGAGGAATCAAGTGTCAATCTTCTGCATGTGGATACCCAGTTTTCTCACTCTTGATCATGTTTTTGGCACGTTTGTCAATAATCAGATGGCTGTAGCTGCATGGTTTTATTTCTGTGTACTCTATTCTATTTCATTGGTCTCTGTTTTTATGCAAGTACCATGCTGTTTTTGTTGTTGTGGCTCTGTAGTATGTTTTTAAACCATACTACAGTATTTCTACTCAGGATTGCTGTGCTTATTCTGGGTCTTTTGTTCTTCCATGTGAATTTTAGGATTGTTTTTTTCTAGTTCTGTGAAGAATGCCATTGGAGTTTTAGTGTAGATTGCACTGAATCTGCATAGTATGGGCATTTAAAAAAATTTAGTTGTAGATGGACACAGTATTTTTATTTTATTTATTTTTTTGTGGTGCTGAGGATTGAACCCRATGTCTCACACATACTAGGCAAGCACTCCCAACACTGAGCCACAGTCTCACCCCCAGTATGCACATTTTAACTATATTATTTTTTTCAGTCCATGAATAAGGAAGTCATTCCAACATTTAAAAWTTTTTTTAGTTGTAGTTGGACACAATACCTTTATTTTTAAAATTTGTTTTTATGTGATGCTGAGGATTGAATCCAGCACCTCACACATGTTAGGCGAGTGCTCTACCACTGAGCCAGAACCCTAGCCCTGTTCCAATTTTTAGTGTCTTCTTCAATCTCTTTCTTTAATGTTTTGTGATTTTCCTCAAATAGGTCTCTCACTTTCTTTGCTAAATTTATTCTTAAATAATTTGTGTGTGCGTGCACATGTTTGTGTGCATGGTGTATCAGGCTTTTCTATGTCTTCCCTCTAAACAAATTCATTATTGATGTATAGAAAAGTTACTAATTTTGTATATATTACATGTTTTAGATATGTTACATGTTTTATATGCTTCTACTTTACCGATTTTATCAGTTCTAATAGTCTTCAGTGGAGTCTTTAGTTTTTTTATATATTGAGTCATATCATCTACTTAGAGAATTTATCTAACTTCACCTTTTCTATTTGTATGCCTTTTTATTTTCATTCTCTTGTTTAATAGCTCTAGTTGGAACTTCTAGTAGTAGTATATTGAGTAAGAGTGGTAAAAGTAGACACCCTTGCCTTGTTCCTGATCTAAGAAGGAATGCTTTCAGGTTTTCCCTCCACTCCCCGCGTCCCATTCATGATGTTGGTTATGGGCTTGTCATATACAGCCTGATTTTCAGATTAGGGATGCTCAACTGGTAAAGCTTTTGAAAATATTCCCAAATCCAGCTGGGCTCGGTGGTTCATGCCTATAATCCCAGCTGCTTGAGGCTGATGCAGGAGGTCAAGTTCAAGGCCAGCCTCAGCAACTTAGTGAGACTGTGTCACAAAATAAAGAATAAAAAGGGGTGGAGATATATCACAGTGATAGGGCACTGCTGGGTTCAGTTCCCTATACTGGAGAAGAAAGAAAGAGGGGTAAGGTGGAAGGGAGTGAGGGATGGATGAAGAAAGGAAATATTTCAAAATTGAAATAGAAAATCAAAATCTGAACCACTCCTCTCCCACTATTTTGGACAAGGGATACTTGAACTAGGTAATCTTGAGTTTTGGTTAGACTTTTACCCTTGAGGATTTCTTAACTACTTCTTAAAGCTATGGCTTGTATTTCATTTTATAAGATAGAAAAAGGTACTTCTATTTTTTTGCAGTTTTAAAATTGATAGWGTTTTGGAAAATTGCAATTACAGGATAAACAGAAGAAATATGGGTTGTTTGGTTTGAAAAGGGGATAGAAAGAATTATGCATAATTAGGACCTTACAGTTAGGCCTTGTAACCAAGTCAATTTAGAGGTGTTATAGGTTATAGAATATAATTGTTTCATTTACATATTGCTGGCAGTATAAATTTTATTAAAAATAAGTTGAGAATGTATGTGGCCAACAGGTTGGGTTCCTATTCTGTTATCTTTATTTATTAATAGTTAATTTGCCTTCTGAAGAATTCCTTATTTTCTGTTAAATTTTTGAAGAGTTTTTTATTTCTTATTAGGAAACTTGAGATGGAAGCAAAGAGAAAACAAGAAGAAGAAGAGAGAAAGAAAAGGGAAGATGATGAAAAACGTATTCAGGTATATACTTACTGACTGAATTTCTATCAAGGTATAATGTACAAAGTTATAGAAGAAGTAAAAATAAGATCTTGGTTTGGTAATAAGCCATCACTAGTTTATCTTACAGGCCAAAGACAGTTCTGAAGGAATTATGGAGCTGGGGAAATGAGTTCAAATCCAGGCTCTGTCACTGACAGAAATTATGTCATCATATACTTCACAAATAGTGACTGTGGGCCACAGTGTCTCTTTAGAATGTGGATGAGTCATAGTTGGGAACATTGAGAAAGTTATAGATGTTAAAGCATTTAGAACATATTATATTTCTATTACACCTAGGGAATGTCAGTGAACATTCACTTATGTTATAATTTATGTATAAAAACTTTGTAGATATGGGTATTAATAGGTTAGATATTCTCTCTATCCCACCATATTTAAAAAGTTTCATGTCTGAAAATAATTGATCATGTAATTGAATTTCTGTTTTTCTGGGCTTTCATAATATATACTTAAGCATAACCTGCACTTTAAATTCGGATATCTTCAGTGTGGGTACTGGTGTTAATTCACCTGCTGGGATACTCGGACTGTGATGTTTAGGATATTCGAACTGTAGTTTTAGAATGGTGGAACTCTAGTTCTTCTGCCTTCTATTGGCTTTGGGAAAGTGAAGTATTAATGATAATATAGGAAAAAAATAAGACTTTAGAGATTTGTGGTTAAATAATATATATCCATTAATATATATTATATAAATTATATTAATATGTAATATATGAATATATATATTAAATATGTATGGTATACATAGTAATATATAATTATATATGTATAATTTTTAAAAATATATTTTTTAGATGTTGATATATACCTTTATTTTATTCACTTATTTTTATATGTGGTGCTGAGAATCGAACCCAGTACCTCATACATGCTAGGCAAGCTCTCTACCACTGAATCACAACCCCAGCCCCTATGTGTACGATTATTTTATACACATACACACACACACACACACACATACATACATATACACACACACACATATAACATATAATAAATGTAATCCTTAGTTCTTAATAAGAAAGCATTTAGAACTAAGGAACCATTAGGTCTTCCTTTTATTTTAAGTATTAATGAAGAGTGATCAAGTAACATGTGAAGAACTCTTGGTGAAATGGCTGTCTTGCTTGGTAGGCTGAGGTGGAGGAGCAGCTGGCCCGACAGAGGGAAGAGGAGTCCCAGCAGCAAGCAGTTCTGGAGCAGGAGCGCAGGGACAGGGAGCTGGCCCTGCGGATCGCCCAGAGTGAATCTGAGCTCATCAGTGATGAGGCCCAGGGTGACCAGGCACTTCGGAGGTACTGGGGCCCTTGTGTGGGAGGGTTGCACCTTCTCCATTTCTTTTTTTATCTCTCTGCTTTTCAGTTACATGTAAAAGAGAATAGGAGAAAATCATATCCCTTAGATCCTGTTATGTTTGAAGTAAAATCATTTAAGTTATATCTGCTTTTATAACCAAATGAATGAAACAGTTGATTTGCCATTAAATTGTTGAACTGTTGAAAAATAAAATTTCAGTTAGTGAGTACTCTGTTAAGAAAACATCTCAACTTTTATTCTGAAGTTGTCTTTAAGAGTATTACATATTAGGTAGACATATAATTTCCAAGTTCTTGTCAAGCACTGAGAGAAATTATTAACTGTACTGTATGCAGTTTTTTGTTTAGGATTTTTTTATTTTCCTAAAGCCCAATTTTTTTTAAAACCATATTTCTGAAAGGAGATTTACCCTCCAGTGTCTCAGAATAAAAGGAGTTCCTTCCCAATAAAGGAGGTTAATCGTATTGAAATATTTGGGCTCCTCTGATTTCTGAATGATATCTCTAAATATCATAAAGGAGTGTGGAAGAATATGGAAATTCTTAATACTTCACAAGAAGTTTCAGGGAGGTTTTAATATTTTTCATTTAAAACTTATAAGAAGGAAACAGTAATTGTTTTGATAATTTATTTGTAAGAAAAACCAAAACTAGCTTGTAGGACTCCTCCATATGTTGACATATATACTTTATGAATATATGTGTGTATATTTACTGAGAGGCAAACATATATAACAAAATACAGTTAACTGTAATAAACTATAGTTAAATTACAACCACTAGATGGAGCTATTTCTTTGTGAAATGAAAAGACCTGGGTTCAAATTGCAAGGTGAATCATAAGGAAATTGCAATTTTAATTAGCTAAAAACACAGATGGGGAAGAAAAGGGTTTGTTAAGTTGCCTTTTTCTAGTAAATGATTATTTTGAGAAGCTCTCAAGTATGAATTATATATGAAAGTATGTTAGGGTAAATGAACTTTCTAGATCTATTATAAACAAAAGGTGTTATTATTAAGCTTTTGGGTTTGAGACCATTATAATTAAAATATTTTGCCTTTTGTATATGCAGACTTGGCTCAGCTGCTCTCCTGTTCTTTTCACCTGTGTCTGTTGGGATGACTAGAGAATTGCCTAGCAGCTAGGCCAGACTTCGAGTAAGCCCTGCTCTGACAGCTGCTATCTCTAATGTCTATGYTGCAGCACAACAGTGGATAGAGCAGGGTTTATTGTAGGTGAAGTTCATTTCTTAGTGACTCACTAATAGAATAATTATTGGCATTCATTGTCAAGCTTTATGTTTATGCATTTGAAAGAGTAAGCTATATCCACTGCCATTCCACAGGCTGTGTGCAAGTCACTGCCCTGTATGTAGATTACTTTCCTCTTTTCAGGAAGGTACACTTCTTTCAGGGTGAGTCCACTCTAGAAAGAGTAGACATTTAGGATTTTCATGGTAAAATCATGTAAATGACAAGTTACCTGCAGTGTAAATTAAGCATAATTATCTAGTCTATGGGACCATTATTGAATAATGAGGTATGCAAGCCATTATGACTTTAAAGGCAGAAGAGTGAATTGGTTCTTTTGTGGTATAGCCCTAGATGCCTCCTCCTCTGCAGCCTTCTTCTATGACCTTCATGTTCTCTGAGCTCCTTCCCTTGTTGTGATTATTTTATACTCCATACTACAAACATCAGCACTTCATTATGGATAATGTTTTTACATTAATATTCTATGTTTGATAGTTTTATTCCATGGACTATAATTTAATGTTTTTGAATGTTTATTTTACCTTTGTTAGCRTTGAATTCTTTCTATATCAAATTTATGAATGAGACTTCTCCAAATAAATTAAGTTGTAAGAAACAGCATGAAAATTTCCATGGGCTCTGTGATGTGTAAATATATGCAGATGGATTTTGCTACAATAAACAATATAAAGTTGCTTTTCCAGCTTAGATTCCTGTGGAGTAACTTCTAAGTAACAATCATTTTCCACATGTTTTAAAATATAATCTAAATCAACTACATACATGAACCTTGATGCAAAGTAACAATTTCAAATTACCTGAAATTGTAAAGTAATATCCAGTTTCTGTTAAGAATGAATCTCACAATGTACAAATTTTCCAATCTAGATGAATTTGCTCTTTAATTTTCATTGAATGCTTTTCATTTATTCTTTTATAATTACTTTAATGAAGATTTTAAAAATATATGAAAATTCTGAGTGATCTCTTACAGATGAAAGATGATTGAATTTTTAATCCCATGAATAAAATAATTGAAACACAAATTGACCCAATGTAGTTTTACAATTCAGAGTTGATTATGATATTAACTAAAATATATTCTTTTCACAGAAATGATGGAACAAGACCTAAAATGACACCGTATGTCATTTTCCTTTCCTTTTTTTTTAATAGAGTATGGATATTTTGTGGGGAGTTGGTTTCCTCCAGGGAGTAGTTTATTTCATTTTAGTAAAAGAGAGTGAGATAATATTGTTTCATTTTTTTTCCTTTACTGAGGAAAATGTTTGATGCTCAATTTCAGTAGTTTTTGATTTGATTTCTTTTTTATGTGTGTTGTCTTTGCTTAAATGTTGATAGTTTATTTTACATATTTTTAACTTTTCCTTACCCCTTACATCTTTATAGCAGCAGGTATGGAGAAATAAATAAGTAAAATATTCAGGTTTAAGAATATAATTAATTCTAATAATATCTGAAATAGGTCATAGTCTGAAGTTACATATGTAATATCTTTTTTGTAATGTAAATCTCCCCACAGAGAGTGAATACTAGTAACACTTGGGATATAAATAAAATCTGAATTTTAACAGCTTTCAGGATTCCATATGTAACCTTTATTTTGATGATTCCCAGCTCTGTCAGACATTAGTATGAATAGCAAATATTTTATAGATTATGTAACCTATAAATATTTCCAAAAAATACATATAAAGGAAAAAGAAAAAGATAGTCATTTATAATAAAACATTAATTTATTTTAATATGAAACTACTTGTGCATAATTTCAACAGAAGACATAATCAAGTAGTCATTTATAATAAAACATTAATTTATTTTAATATGAAACTACTTGTGTATAATTTCAACAGAAGACATAATCAAGTAATCAGATATTTTTACTTATACATAGAATCTCTATGAATGCCATAACTACAAATGCAGATTGATATAGGAATGTTGTGTAAGAAACTCAAATGCCATGAAATTGTGAACAGTCCTTTTTAAAGTTCTGAACAGAACTATATACAATTTCCTCTCAATTACACAATATTTGTGTCCCTAGAAAAATTCTGTTTTAAAACCATGCAAAAAAACATATTGTTTACGTGTGAAGCTTTGTTCATACGTGAAATATGTATTTGTATGTATGTATTTCACCCTTATGTGTCTGGCAGACTTGTCAAAGTTACATGTGTCATGGGACAGTTCTTCCTGTGCAGGATATTTAAAATTCCTGATTCCATATTACAGTACATGCCAGGAATGCACACCCACAACATTGTTGTTACTTCAGTGCTCCCAGAAATTTCAAAAATTAATCTCTGATAGGCATTGTTTGCCCACCCTTCATTAGGACAGCCACTTTGTTACCATTGAGCTTGAGTTATATAAGCCTTGCAACCAGTGTCTAAGATGAAATTATGAGCATTTGCATATAGTTTAGCAAAATTGGAGTAAAAAATAACACCTGTGTACAAGGATCATTTCTGTCAAATGAATTTGGTGTAGTGAGTTTTGTATAGGTCAGGTGTAGCTGAATGTGAGGCCAGGAAGAATAATAATTCAGTAGAGATTGCCTACTTTGTAGTGGTAAAGTATACAGAGAAGTTTCTGTACAATCTATAGATCAAGTGGTAAAGAGCTTTGAAAAGGCATTTGACTCCCTTGAAACCTCTGTGGGAAACAGTGGAGTAAGATTTAGAACAAAGATTTGGTAAAAAAAGGAAACATTGAGGTGGGATGATAGTAGAATTAATAATACTTAGCAAAATCATACTGAATTTGTTGGCTAGAAAATTCTGAGAAACTACTTAGATTGAGAAACTACTTAGATGAATTAAATGTATTGCTCAAAAGATGATTTTTATTGGACTATATTTGTGTGTTATATATTATTGTCCTTCCTCATCAGTTTTGAAAGATTTCTTTTTCTCTGGCTCTGCTTGCTCAGATAGACCTCCACCAGTACCTGATTGTAGCCAATGTTGATTATAAGAGAAGGGCATCTTGGAAACTGCCCTGTAGCAAATATATTCAGCTTCTTTTCTCACAGTTTTTACTAATCTGTAGGGTTTTGAGGTTCCAAAGTTGGATTAATAGAATGAATGGGAATATGATTAGGAGGGTAGAAGAGCAAGAGTAGGAAAATAAAATTATGAAGTTAAAGTGTTGATGAGCACAATGAAACTTCTGTTTCATTTCACAGTATTAAGCAAATATTAAGAAAAGTTAGTTTCCAGGGTAATAAAGAAGAATAAGTTTTTGCTTTGGGAAATATTTATCCTTGGAAGGCCAGAATGCTTCAGATCTTCCATTTAGCAACTGTTTGTAAGATTTTCTTTCTTTCTTTCTTTTTTAATGCTTTGATTTGGAGTTTTAGAGCTTTGACTACATCAGATTTGTATTTAAACCCTGACACTGTAAAATATATTATCTTGGTTTACCACTGTGATGCTTTGTCTAATTAATATTTACTAAGCAAGACTGGTACAAAAATACTAAAATAGAATTCATATCCTGCCAAATTTCCCATATACATTTAGAACATGCTATTTATGTTCTATATATAAGAAATACAGAAACATGGGCTTAAAGATATTTTATCAATAATTTTCTACCAAAAAATAACTTTAACAGGATATAAACAAAAATTTTGCCATGTTTAATAGATTATTTGAAAGTGTATCCTAGACTTTTACCAAGTAAAATAATTATAAATGACTAATATATGGATAACCATAATGAAAATATAAACTTTTAATGATATGTTCAGATCTTTTAAGTAACTTATGTAATGCATCTTATATATAACTATGTCATATTATCATTTTTCTTATAGGGAACAAATGGCCAAAGAAATGTCAGAATTTTTGAGTAGGTTAGTTCAGGGTATTTGGGGAAATATGTTCACCTCAAAATCATATTTAAAATTACTTTTGATTATTTGGACTAGAACCTGTTATATGAATGGCCCACTCTTTTTCCATCTAAATTTTCTGTACAAGAAATGTCACTTTCACCCTATCCCATCCCAACACAGAAAAAGATAAAAAACAATATCTATAAATTCATGTTTCTCAGTGAGGATAAATTGGCTTTCTGAAAGTGAAAATTTCTTGCCATTCTGCCTATCACCTGCCCCCACCAGTTCCGTCTCATTAAGGGACTCCTTCCCCTCATCCGGAAGAAAAAAAGGTAGTTTTTAACTCCTCCTGAGGAGTGTGCTTCTCTTAATTTGGGAATCAACTACACCTAGTTGAAGGGGAAATGGAGGAAGAGTGTGGCTCCTGAGGGACTCTGCTCCACCAGTGGTTTTTAAAGCCATTGTATAAATAGACTCCCCAAAGGAAAGAGCTTCCTGACAGGATCTGGTCCATCACCTTTATAAGTGGATGTGAATCAATAACATTTTAATTGTCAATTTTGAAGTTACAAAATTAATTAAAAGTTCTAACTATTAAAAATCAACCCAGTTTTGCTACTATTTGTATTGTTTACATGATTATCTTTATAACAAGTCTAATAGTCAATTACACCTTTATTTTAATATTTTAACTCCACAGATGAGAGGAGGGGAAGAACTTAAATGAATTGCATTCATAGATTTCTTCTAATACCAGTTTTTTTTTTAAGCAGGTGTATTTTTGTTTGAAATAATATGAATGGAAAGCTAGTATTATTTAAATCATATTTTATGCAATAATAATTTGAATTCAGTGATATTTTAAAAAGCATTGAAATGCTCTTATGTATATTCTGATGTCTTATGTGTATTCTGACAATCTATAAAACTATACTATATAAATTAACTTTCCCTTTCAAAAGAAGGCAGCAACAACAAAACCCATAATAATTTTCAGCTTACTCTTCTAGAAAAGACTTTTAGAAGAATAGACCAAAAAAAGAACTTTTTGGGGGGCAGGGGCAGTTTATTGAGTGGTAGTTTAGGCATGTAGAAAAGAATATATGAATAAAGTTTAAGTATAATTTATTGTCAAGGGTAATAGACCTTGCTGACACACAGCTGGCTCTTTTTGAGAAAAGCAATTAAGAATAAAAAGCTACATGGAATATTGCCAGTCATACAGTTTTTGAAAAATACAGATTCTGCAGTAAACCCCAAACAGATTTTACCATAAAAATACAGGCAGGATTAAATGGCCACACATTTTTTTATGTCTAGTCTTATATAGAAGACAATCACCATGTCAAACAATTTGAAACATGCTATATTTTGTTCTCTGAACTGAAAGTACATATAGGCCATAAAGGGTCAAAGATACCTTGTTTATTTCATTTTAAGCATAGTATTGAATAAACAATTTCCTTTACTTCAAGAAGAACATAATATACTTTCAAATAGCATTTTTCAGTAACACTTGTTAATTGTCTGTATCTTGACTATTTGCTAGGATTATTATTTTTGAAAATGTAAAATGGTGATAACATACTTATTTTTCATAATATACATTGATTGTCCCTCTTTAAAAGGAAATATTTGCCGAGTACTAGATGATATAGAATTTTCTTGCATTAATCTGAGAAATGGCATTTTAGTTCTTTAATATTTAGTTATATTAATATTTGTGCTACCTTCTTTTCATGTCTTAAAGTCTGATTCAACTCCTCCTTTGTTACATTGAGCAGCTTGATTCTGAGTGTCTGCCATGTGCGAAGTGTAATCTTTTGCTGAAAAGTAATGTTCATTATTACAGAAATTATTCACATATTTTCTGATTAATGATCGAAACTATATACACAAAAACCAAATCTTCACTCTGAGTAGCATTATTATGAAAAGGTTGAATTTACCCCCATTTTATCGGGTATCTTAGAGTGTTTTCTTTCCTTTTTCTCATTCAAATGTTTTTCCTAAAAGGTGCAGGATACAACACTCCACTCGTGTCCTTTGAAATCAGTTATCTACCTCTTGACCTAAAACCTCTTATGACTCACTAAGTATGAGGATATGGTTTATTCTCTTATGGAACTTTTAGTGTTTCTAGACTCTAGCAGTTCTTTTAGCCTATCTTTTATGACTTTGTTGCAGTTTGGCTACTTACCTGTGGACCCCATAAACGTCCTTATGCCCAGGGAGATTCTGAGTCAGTAGGTGTGGCCATCTGTAACGTTCAGCAGCCCCTGCAGGTGATGGAAATGAGCAGCCTAATGGCTCATAGAAAAGCCATTAATGTGTACTAATGATCTTTTAAATCTGCTGAGAATTTCTTTTTTTGTGTTTGAGAAATACATATAAATGTATTTTTTTAAACATTAGCTGTTTATAGATCCATACGAATTTTTAAACTGAATTCTGGGGAAGTCCCTGTAACTAGAATAATGAGATCAAAAGTCCTGATGTAAAAATATAAGATGGTTATCAAGTGTCATGCTGGAGAATTTTAATTAACTTGACCATCTTTTAGTATACCTTTTTTTCCCTCCCAGGTATTGAGGGTGTAATCCAGGGGCTCACACATTGGTGTCTACCTGAGATAGACCCCAAGTCCACCATTACACCATTTATATCTCATCTATCAGAGACACAAAAATTATTATGTTTTTCTAGTAGTTTCCAGTTTTCAAACTTATGAATACTTTCTTGGCTCTTTAGTCAATGTTTCAAGTTTAAATACACAAAAATATATAATCATTACAGAGGTCCTGCTGTACAAGCCACCAAGGCAGCTGCTGGTACCAAGAAACATGATCTTAGTAAATGGAAATATGCAGAACTACGTGATACCATTAATACTTCTTGTGGTAAGTGTATGCAGAGGATGAAAAATGTGACGGGTCCATACTGATAGATAATAAAATAAATATCTATATTGGCAATATTCTTTTAAGTCTGTTAAAGATTTCTTTTTTTGATTTTGAGAAATATATACATATGTGTGTGTGTGTGTGTGTGTGTGTTTATGTATGTATTTTTTTAACATTAGCTGTTTACATATACATCAGATATAGAGTGGGATGGCATATATATAATTATATATATATATATATATATAATGTAAATTAACTTAAACTGGTCTGTTACTCTTTGTTCCCTTGAAATAAGACCTAGTTTATTCAGAAAACCAAAAGAAATACTTGATAAATCAAGTGCATTTTGCCTGTGTCTTACCCAGGCCAGAGAGGAGGAGCAAATACATGTTATGGTTTGGGCTACATTAATGACTGGCTCTTCTAATGTTATTTGTAATAGTTAAATACCTGCATGTCTCAATCTTTTAGACATGAATACAGAGTGACAAATAGCAATGTAGTCATTTATTTTTAAATCTATTTTTTTCCCAACAGAAAAATTGTGTAAAAAACAATATTCAGAGGACCCCACATAGTTATGTTCTTGTTTAAATCACAGTGTTTGCATTCAGGACTCTCTGTCTAGGAATGAAAACATCATGWTTGGACAGAATTTCTCAGTGTGTTTTTTTCCTTTTCACTGAATAGATCTGAATAATTGTGAATATAAAAAATGTGTTGCATCTAAATCTCAATTATTTTTGAGCATGACTTTTTATTGTTAACCTTTCTGGTTTAGTTTCTTCAAATATAGAGTACCTGTTTAGTTCAACATTCTTATGTAGAATAACTGATGTAAGATAGTAATAATGCTTGAGAAAATGCTCTGTTAATATAAAAGATAATATTATAAACTCCTCATCTTTATGAGTAACTTACTTTTGGTTTTGTACTATTAAATTAAAAGCAAAAGCCTTATGTGTGTATGTGTGTGTGTGTGTGTGTGCATGCGCATGGATATGGTAGATAGATAGATCTATGTATATCTTTATATGCCACAGCACAATTTTGTTAGGTGAATAAATTAGGATGTTAACTTTTTAATTTTTTTGACTCTGTGTAAATCAATAGATATTGAGCTCCTGGCAGCTTGCAGAGAAGAATTTCATAGGAGACTAAAAGTGTATCATGCGTGGAAATCTAAGAACAAGAAGAGAAATACTGAAACAGAGCAACGTGCTCCAAAGTCTGTTACTGATTATGGTAAAAATAAATCTGTACTTTTGACTGTTCCAAAGCATATGTATATAAATATATCTAACTATGTTTGACTTTCAGGTAAAAATATCCAATGTAAATTTTTTCTTTCTCTGGACAGTAATCCTTTGAACCTGATAACAGCCACGGTGGCCTGTCCTTTGTAGCTTTATTTTTATTTAAAGCTATTTTTGTTAAAATTTATTGAGTTTATTTGTTAAGATAAATTCTAGAGGTTAGAATTTTCTTGTCTGTACTGCAGACATTGTTCAGTACTGTTGTAAATACATAGTTTTCTACACATAAATATTCACATACATTAAGATATGTACTCTTTCATGTGTGAAAAATGTAAAGATTACTATGATTTTTTACTTTCCATGTTAAATGAGTTTGACATGTGAAAAATGAATGTTTTTATTTTCTACAAATTTTATTATTTTTAAATTTAATGTAGCTCAGTTTCTTGGAGTATTTCCCTGAAATACCCAAATATTGTTATGTTTTTAATATGTAGGCCTTAGTATTTTCTGGTTCCTCTCAGAATAGGATTATAGCCCAGAAAAGGAAAGGAATTTGTACATATGTTCTTCATTAACATTGTAATTCCTTTGTTTAAAAAGGTCACTGCAAATCTTTTTTATAATTTTGTAAAATGTGAGTGAGAAATGTTACTTTGGTTCAGACTAGTTAGTGTTGTGCCTGCACCATGAATTGATTTTTTTGACTGGGATCTTATTATGTAAAAGACCAAGTATATATTTGAAATTAGAAATGATCAGATTTAACCTAGTAAAAGCAACACAAGCTTTAACATTAGTTTTCCGAATACCTGTGATATGTGTGTTGTAATTTCTATCTTTAAAGCAATTATTGGAATTTCATTTATTCAACTTGCTGCTTTTATACTGTCATGGTTTATTAGCTTAGTTCCAGTTAATGTCAAGATGATAGCAGGCTTAATATCTTTTTTCAAAAAGGGATGTTTTCTTGACACTTGATAGTAGAGTTAGTAATTATGACCCAAGTTTCCTTAGAAAATGAGCTCTTGGATGTATTTTGCTTTTCTTGGATGTATTTTATTTACCTTCCAAGTAAATAAAAGCAATGATTGAATAAAGTCAGTTAAATGGTGAAATTTTAGCATTTCTAAATTGTTGCAAGGAATAGATTGAGGGCAACATTGTTATTAGTAAGGAAGATGTTAATGCCATTGAAAGCTGAAAGGGTGTTACCAGGCAGAATATAACACTGTGAAGAGACATTGAGACCTTACATATAACTAAAAAATGGCAGGTGGAAGCTCCATTAAACATTTCTCTGTGTATTGAAGATGACAGAATGATTTCATTATCTGTTCATTGCCTATATACCAAATTTCTGGCACAATAGCAATGAGCTGTTCTTTTTTGCTGTAAATGGTCTAAGTATTACCTTTAGCCTGAAAGATTTTCATTATGTTGTATTTCAAAATTTATATATCTCAGTGATTATACTCAAAGCAAAAAGAAACTAATATTATAATATTCGGTGCACAGACTTTAAATGAGTGTACAAATATTTCATATATTTTTAAACCAAACTTTGATTCTTTATTTAATCTAGCTTTGCCCCCAAAGGTACAAGTAATATATAATTCACCTTGTAGGTTTAAGTACTGTTTGTTACTTGTTTATTGGAGACAGCAAAAGAGTAAATTAGGAAAATTTCCTAATAATGCCATCTGGGTTTACGAGTTAACTTAGAGATTTTATATGAACATAATTTATATGTATTTAGCCTTCAGATGATTTGAGTATCAGCCATTTTTAGTTCTGCTCTGAACCTATCTTGCTTTTCTCTTATAAAATTTAGTCTGACACAGGAGTATAGCTAAAGGGAAAGGTGAAGGAGATCAAGATGTTTATTAACAGTTCAGTTGAGAAAATTCTACACTTACATGGTTTCCTAAGGGGACAGACAGCTAGACACTCTTTAAAAGGAATCGCTACACAGTCTGATGTTTAGAAGGATTAGAATTCATTCATTTAAGAAAATAAAATGACATTTTGATTAACAAATATATAACTTGATATTATTGACTCCAAAAGTAAACATTGACATTCTTGGCCAATACCTATAATAATGAGTGAGAAGCTTTCAAACCCTTTTCTTGTGCTGTGCTTAATGAACACACTCTCATCTCATTTACTGAACAAAAATATTTTCAGAAGTAATTTTTAAGAGAAGTGACAAATTGCCTCCAGTAAATATTTATAATAATTAATTGCTTAAAACAATGATTTTGTAAATAATTTCATCCTATAATTCTTAAAACAAAAATGGCATGAGATTAAAATTTAGAAAATTTTAAGAAATTAAAACATACTGAATATGTGATAAAAGTACTGTGTCTATTAAGTCATTGTGTTAGGTTTTTTGTTTGATATTACTGTGTCCCGAAAATTTCCTAAAAAAATAGCTTTTTTTTTTTTTTTTTTTAAAGATCAGAAAGTAGTATCTGCTTGTAGGTTTTGGCTTAATGCTAAGATATTTACTTGTTAGTCACCACCTCAATTGATGGGATGGATTTACAAATTAGAAATGCTCATTTAATGGTTTTGGCATTTTTATCTTTTCTTCAACATAAAACATTTGTTCACAGATTTTGCATCATTTTTGAACAATTCACGTAAGTCAATGGGTGGTAACTCATGAGCTAACTGGAAGATGGGTTAAAATACTTTACAAAGTACTAACTTCTGTTAAACATTGTTTTGCTACAATTTTAAGTGGAATTGTAGTATAATAAAGTTAGTTTATCCTTATTAAGATATATTTTAACTTGAGATGATGCTTTTGTTTGGGTTATTCCAAAATACATATGCAAAACAAATCTAATTAAATCATTCTCTTGTTTTTTTCAAATTACTTCCATTTTAAAAATAACATTTTAATTGAATATACACAATTCTTATTGTAGCAAAACTATTTCAACTTAGCAGCTGATCTTTTAGAACAAGGACTAACTTAGGTGCTGGTTTCAAACACTGTATTTTCAAACTCTGTGATGATATCTGAACTTCTAGCCAGAGAGATCTGAATTTTGCATGGGAATTTGCAAAAGTTTAATGATGATTCCTCCTAATAGGGAGAGAATATTATTTTGTTACTTTTATAACTTCCTTTGATGCACCTTCTTCTATAATTTAGAAGCTTTGGGTGTCCTTAGTATACACTAGATTTCTTCCAGAATCAAGTGAGCAATAATGATTTGGATATAATGTCAAATTTATTTTATTAACTAGTTGAGCCTGATTTTTTAAGTGTTTCTAATAATTTATAGGGCTATATTTGAAACATTTCACATGTTTTAAGATAATGCACTCTGATGAGAAAGAAACTAATTTAGATTAGTTTCAGGCTATTTAATATCTATTTTTTTTAACTTTTCCAGATAGATACTAGTTTCTAGCTTCCTCAACAAATTTTCAGTTCTCTCATTAGTAGAAATGGCTATGAGAGATTTTGTTTGGTTTTTCAATTGTATTCAATGTGTTGAGTTACAGGAGACTTGTTTTAAAAGAAAAAAATAGGTCAATTAATGTATGACTGCCAGTTTCAGAGTATATTTCCAATCAACTGGACATTAAATTTTAGTTTACTACTTAAGATGGAAGGAAGGGGTTTTGTTTTTTGATCCTTTTAAGGGTGTTAGTACTGAGCACAAATATAATCACTGTGCTACAAGTAGCTTTTTGGGAACAGGAACAAAAGATTAAATAAGCACATCTCTGTTAATAATGCTAAAGGTGTTGTGAAGTTTTTAAAGTCACTAACCCAACTGGCTTCTYATTCTTTCATAGGTATATATAGCTTTGCTAACTGCTTTTTTCTTTCCCTGGTTTGCAAAGAAATTCAACTGCTATAACCCGTTTGCTGTTTCTTGGTGTAGAAAGTAGAGTGAGAATATTTTCATCCTTTTAGTATTTGAAAGTTCTTACAAAAGCCACGTGGCTGTCCTTGATTTTTATAACATATATATCTTACACAATTTTTCATTGACATACTTTGATTTTCATACTGATATTCTTGGAACTGCAGTAAATGGTTGGTCTACTTTTAAAGTTGTGAGTATAAAGCATATTAAACAGGCTTACCAAAATTATGCTATTAAAGATGTAAAGTCATTGCCCCAGGGAAATGTTTGTATTTGCAGATAAAATAAAAACCTAATTGTTCTGTAATGAAAATTGAGTAAGGGAAGAAAGATTAATATGAGCGCATTGCTTAGTACTAGCAGAAAAGCAAAGATTTTTATTTTCTATTGGTGAGGAGAAGCAAGCAATATAGCCTTTCCATTTATTTCAGTGGATTTCCAAGAGAAAAGTGATTTCAAAGTAAGTAAATATTCATACTTACTCTGTAGGTCTTTTGGGTGGTTTTGTTAAGAATTTGCTGAAATATTTTTAATATTTGTGTTATCTTGGCTGTTTGAAATCCCCAAATCCATTAAAAAAAGATTTTATATGGCTTCCACATTTTGTAAAATAGTGATTAAATCAACAAATCTTTTCAAGTTTTTTTACATTACTGTTTGTTTTCTTACAAATAGTTCAACAGAAATTACTTTGCAGAATTAATTGGAGAGCTTTTGAAATCTAGTAAATAATATTTTTCTTCTGCCACGTGAGTTTATTTCAGGTTACTGCTGACAGTCATTTGTGAGAATCTGCTAGAGTTTTGGTGGTGATGGTGGTGATGGTGGTGGTGGTTGTGCGTGCACCCATGCATGCGTTGCCAAGGAGCATCTTTAGGGAAAGATAACAAAGAACTTACATTCTGAATTGAATTCAATTTATTGGTGATTAATATTTACACTTTAAGTTTGCTATTATGAGTCCCCCCAACTTTTTGGTAAAAATTCTTGTGCATTGTAGTATTGAAATCTGTTTCTTTTCCCTTGAGCTGTTATGACTTTTCTTATTGTGTGTGATAGCTCAGCAGAACCCAGCAACTCAGCTTCCTGCCAGACAGCAGGAGATGGAAATGAACCGGCAGCAGCGTTTCTTCCGCATTCCATTCATCCGCCCTGCTGACCAGTACAAAGACCCTCAGAGTAAAAAAAAAGGCTGGTGGTATGCTCATTTTGATGGACCCTGGATTGCCAGGCAAATGGAACTCCATCCCGATAAACCACCCATCCTTCTTGTGGCTGGTATGTATGATTCACGTGGAAATAAAAAATGTATAAAACAAAAAGGATTATGACCCCCTTAAGTGAAACATTCTAATATATAATGCAATAATCCATTCAATTTGAGGGTTGAGTGGTGGAGTTTGGAGGCTAAGTTACATTTCCAGTTAATTGAGGATTAACTGATTTATAAAGTAAAATTGCTTAGATTAATTATATCCTAGTAGACCACATTGAAACTTATCGGTATCCTAAGAAACTTCACTGATGTTTAATTAAACCCATTGCTTTTGTAATAGCTTGAGGACATGTAGCATTTTTATTAACCTTGATGACTTGTTTGATCAATGGTAATGTTTATAAATTTAGAAGGGTTCGTTAGTGGGGAACAAATTTAAGTTGTTTCTGGTAAATTTATTAAGCAGATTTTCATCTTAAGAAAATAAAGTCTTAGAAAGCTCTCCAATCTATGAGAATTGATAGTATTTAAGGAATAGAGCTCATAAAAAGTGGTTCTRAAAAGAGACGATAATTTTCTGATGTCTCCTTATGCAGGTAAGGATGACATGGAGATGTGTGAGCTCAATCTTGAAGAGACTGGCCTGACACGGAAGCGCGGTGCTGAGATTTTGCCAAGACAGTTTGAAGAGATTTGGGAACGCTGTGGAGGCATCCAGTACCTTCAGAATGCAATTGAGAGCAGACAAGCTCGACCCACATATGCAACAGCCATGCTGCAGAATCTGTTAAAGTAGATGTTGCAGGCTAACATTRTAGCTGGGATTCCTGGTACTGGGTAGGGAGTGTGACCAAGAGATTAACCCTTCCTTGCTCATGTTAGAATTACTTATGCACAATGAGCAGATTTTATAATCATGGCTTTTCATTAATTTAAAGTTAATTAAGGTTATGGTAGTGAATTTGGGACCTAAAAATTATTTTTGAGTATACGGCAGTAACTCTTAAACTTCTCATTRTTCTTATGCTTGTTACACTTGGACTGATTCTGACATTTCTCATTCTTTGCCAACAGACTTCCTAAAGTCCATGATGATTGTTCTCAAGGAAAAGAGAAATTTTTAAAACTTTCAAAATACTTGCTATTTATGGATGACATGGTATGTTCTAACTGGAATAATGAAACCTTAAATTTACAAGAATTAAGGCACTTAAAATTATCAAGACACTGATGTTTGTGGTCTGAAAAGCTATGTATTTTCTCTGCTTTTTCAGAAATTCATGGAAACTTTCATTAAAGATGGAAATTCTGACTTTTTCTCCCTCTCCTTTGCAGTGTATCTTAGTTTGGGTGAAGTAGTTCTTCCTAAGTCCTAGAATTTTGGAAGGAGCTTCAATTTATTTAATTGTTCTGGGATAAAGGAGGAACCAATGATATCCAGCACAGATTAGTTTTCTTTCTTTCTTTTTTTTTTTCAATCAAATTTTATGTCAGAATATTCTTTTGATGTTTCATGGACAAATAAAGGAAATTCAGATTGCTTAACTGTCTAAAAGTTTTGAGCTAACTCTTTTAAGAAAGGGAAACAGGGTTTAGATGGCCCTTTGGCTTAACTGGACTAAATTAAAATCTTTCAAGTTCATCTCTATTGTGATTTTTGTATCAGAATCTTGTCCAAGTTGTTTCGTATGATTTAAGCTGATGTTCTSCTTCAAAATCTTTTTAAAAAAACATTCCTAAATTCTTTTTTGTCCTTTGTGATTTTGGTAATTGTAGAGTTGTTTTATAAGCTTTGTAATTCAAAAGCCCTTGTACTTAGTAATTGCTTGTTTCATATAACAGATAATTTAAAAAAAGTTTTCTTTGTGTGCTGTTAGCCTTGATCAGATGTTGGCAATTTCAAGCCTAATATTTATGACTTTCACATTAGGAATTTAGAGATAAAAATATATCAAGGAATTATGTTGACATAATCCTAAGAAGTCTTGTTTGTGTTTTAGAATAAAGTTGGAAAGTAAAATTATTCTCTGTACCTTTTTTCCCCGAGTTTTAAACATGCTAACCTTTGAAATGAAATTTCAGTGATTTTTTTTTCCTTAGAAAGAATACCTCGGTTAGGAAAATATTTCCCAGCTGATTGGGTTAATGTTTGGGAGCCACAGACACTGTTTTCAGAATTGCTTCTCTCATAATGTCTTAGTACAGAAATATTTATTTATTATGATGCTGTGCAAATGATTGTCTTGTGTTAAGGAAATGGAATGGCCCTGTCTGTGCTATTAATTAGTTGAGAATGTGAATGTGATTATCTTTTGGAGGCTGTACTGCTTACACTTACCCACCCTTGGATCATTTGGTTCCTATGATTGGTGACAAAAGGTGTAGTTACTGAAATAAATGACCTGTTCTCTCTTTTCCATCTCTCGCCTTTAATTGGTGTTTTTGTTTGTGTAGGATAGTGAATGATTAGCTTTATTTCCTAATTATTACTAATGATTAAAGTCCTTGAAAAAAATTTAGTAACCAAATTGATTTTTGATGACTTGTCTCTTCCGTATGGTTTTCAGAAGTAGTTTTATGTATCTCTTAGATATATGAATAGGCACTGGAYGGAAAATTAATTAAAAAGTTCAAAATTATTATAATGAAAGAAATGTTTTCAAGAATTTGAAAGAAATATATCATAGCAAAGCATTATTACAAGTCTTCTTGGTTTTTTGACTAAGAGTTAATAAAATTAGAATTAGTTTTAAGTCACTTTGTTTCTAATTATGTCACCCAGCTGTCCTAGAATTTATCTATTTAAAATAGTCTCCTGAGTTAATGTGCCTATCAGAACTGCCCGGATTCAGATAGTAGTGTAACCTACATACAGCAGGTGTGCATATTTACTGAAGACCTTTTGCTGGAGAAACTTAGGACCCTGACAACCTTTGAGGGGAAACAGAGATGTAATGTTCTAAAAGATGTTGATACAGCTGCTTTATCAAACTCACATTCAAACTTATAAATGCTGTGTGAAAACTTTAGGAATCAAAAGTCAATTAACTCATTTTAATCAGTCATTTAAATTGAAATTTAAAATTAAAAGTTTAAACCAATTAACTGTATATAAATAACTAATCTTCTCTTAATGCTTGTCTCATCAGTTCTTTGTGTTTGCCAATACCAGTTCCTTCCATAGTGTATGCTTTGCAAAGGTAGGCATAAATAACATATTAAAAGAGAAAACAAAATGTTTTTATGTTCAATTCTAATGTAATCCCTAATTTCACCACCACAGAGTCCTTGATGAGAGCAGGAGGTATTTACAGTGCACATAAGTTAAGAGAACAGTTTTCTTAGTTGCAGAGTTGGGGAGATAGCACTTTCTCAGAGGATTATATGAAGAAGTAAAGAAACACAGGGACACCAGCCCTCATGAAAGACATTCTATTGTTACTCTCATTTGGCTTCTATAATGACTTTTATAGGTCATTCTTTCCAGTGACCTACTGAAATATTCTGTTTTATAAGCAACTGAGAAAAGATCTTAAGGAGAAAATAGGTGATATTTGTGGAAGTGTAGATAATAAAAAACCCCAGGCAAGAACAATAATGAATGTTTATTATTTGTAGAGCTTTATTAATTGTATGTGTGTGTGTTGCTGGGGATTGAACACAGGGCCATGCACATGCCAGGCAAGCCACTTACCACTAAGCTACATCCCTAGCCCCTAATTGAATATTTCTAAAGGTATTTTCAGTCACAGGTTATTACTATGGTTCTCAGGGGATCCAAATATGTAGGTCTTTGGTTTCTTTACCTGAAGAGTACTTGGWTCAGCAGAATATTCATTGAATGGATCAGTTAATTAATACAACATTAGTGGTAGACCTATTTCCTTATATGAAATAGGTAGCAGAGAGGTCAAGTAATTTACTTGTAGACAGTAAAAAAGATATAAATGCCTTTGCTCCAATCACGTGTAGCAGCATTTTCTGGGGAGTTACAAAGGGTGTCTTTCTAGATCCTCAGAAGGGGTGACAGAGTATCTTTCCCTGTTTATCATTACCAGTGGTAACAAGCATTGAGAGTTTTAACCTCTCCCAGAAGATACACTAATGAGGGAGGGGAGGGCAGAGGGTATTTAATAATGAGAATGAGGACTAGTTGGGTGGGTTGGGGGAACAGTTGTAACAATAAGGAAAGAGAAAGGGCAGTGGTCAAGAGAGGGAAAGGTAATATGGTGTTGCACACTRTACATTTTAAGCAACAGAGCATTCCTGTGTCTTTGCTAAATTTAGGATGAATTGTGTGTAACTGAAGAGTAGAACCTATGGTCATTAAACTTGGATCAGGATACACCTGGTGTCCCAATTCTTAGCACAAGAGAATGTGGCCAAGCAGCAAATTAGCATTCTGTTCATGACCCTCATGGAAGGGTAAAGGGGAGATATTTTGAGATATAGAGCCTTCATGTATCAGAACCACATCTTTGAATACAGTTAACTTCAGTTCAAATGGTGTACTTTTTCCCCTTTACTAACCTAATAAATGAAGTAAGTTTGGTTGTTTTTGAAGTTTTTTAGGGGTAATGCACATTCAAAAGGAGAACCTTTAAATCCTAATTTGTACCAATGCAGAATCTCACTTTCAAACTATAAATAGGCTTATTAACTGGCCACTTTTCATGGTTGAAAATTTGTCAATTTGCAACTGTTACCTAATTTTTCTCATTTTATGAAAATGTGTGTCTTAACACTTTCTAAAATACTGATGTACTAGAAATACAAATAAATGTACAACTTCTTCTTGAATTGAATTTTTTTTTTTTAAATAGGTTGTCATAAATAGTGGTAAATGTTGGAATTGTTGGCTGTGTCTCAGATGGGAGAAGTTGAAAAAGTTTGGAATCCTGAAGCTCATTCAGTTATCAAGGCCCAAAGTCTTATGCCAGTTAGCAATAGGAAGAGGCTTGAGACTAAACGGGATTGAAACTTTTGAACTTTGGTCCTGAATTCCTATTGCAATCTCCATTCAGAGAACAGGCAGTACAGTGTATGAGCCACTGCTCCCCATTTGGCCAGATTGGAAGCAAACCAAATGTTGGCTACCTTTCTTTAGGCCCTTAATATTCTGTGAGAAGACACATGTTTTAAAAACTGAGGAGACCCAAAGAAGATTAAAAACTGTGGAGACCCAAAGAAGACTCTTTCTCCCTAAGGCTTTGAATAGAGCTGGTCTATACAGCCTACTCCTTATCTCTCATCAGGAACCTATGATGGTCCTGGTGGGTCTTCTGAGAGTGGAGGGAGATTGTCTTAGTTCATCCATAAGATAGGTAATTCAAAGAGTAAGAGGCATTTACCATAAAAGAGCACCCATCCTCCTCATGAAATATAGAATATTTACCTAATTCTATTTCTCCATTAAAAACTATATTCCCTATGCAAGTTGATACAGATCTTCACTTTGGGGGAGGATTGAGGTTGGGAATCAGGATGAGAGGTGTGTATTTGCCAGCTCTAGGAACAACTTTTCAAAGGATTGTATCACTTTTTCATGGGAGAATATGACTTCCAACAAGATCACCTCCATTATTAGGATACCGCCTTTATTTTGGTAGCTTACTGTTAGATGTTGCTATCAGTATTTACTGTCTTTTCGGAGCCTTAAAATATCTTGCTTAAAATATTTTATCAAATCCACAAAGCAAATCCATGGGGAGTAGCTAGTAAAACATTCATTTTATTATAAATCTATGAATATAGTACTTGTCACATCTTTTTAAAATTAAGAATTGAAGCAAATATATTTGATAATGGGATTTTTGAAAAATGTAGAGGAATAAATTTGAAACATTGAAACTGAACTGGATTACATTTAGGTAAACCCACACCAAAATTAGTGTAGGGGGAAGTATATTATACATCTGTTGGAAAACAGGAATTAGGTCAGATAGAACAACTTCACCTCCCACCTCTTACCAGTATGGTGTCTTCCTTTAAAATCACTTTGTGTGGTTACAAGGTCTTCCCATGATTGATCTATCTGAACCTCAATTTGCCTTTTTTAAAAATAACAATTTAGAAATTTTGGGGAATAAAACAATCTATTGTGTAAGCGGCAATTGTGTATATAATACTAGTGTCTAAGTGTTGAAGACAAATGTATATCAGATATTGCGTGGAGCATAGATACACTCATCACTTACATTCTGCATACATTCATGCAGTTAGATCTGTATCTCCTTGCACAAATGATCATCTTTTAAATGTACATTATAACATATAAAGTGCTTATTTCCTGATATAATGTTCAATCCCCAAAACAAGCAGTTGCAAATGGTCTTTGGGTAATATTTTAAGGATAGCTAGAAGTAAACCTGGTTTACTATTACCTTGACTATCAACCAAGATGGTCAAAATATGTTTCACTGATTGTGTTTTGGGTTTTAATAAAAAGTGCTTTTCAGGATTTGCTAGTCATCAAGTGCATGACTTCTATACTTGAAACATAGTGTGTGCTGGTTCTCAGTGTTGACTCTGTGCCTGGATTCTGATGACCAGTGACTCTACCTGCCTCTGTTTTCAGAATATTGATGGAGTGGACACAGTTTTCTTGAGAAAGCAAATCAACTCTCTTGAGATAGCTTAAATGATAATTTGTACATTTTCAGTTTTTAATTTTCTTCCAAATCTTGATGGTTAAATTCTTCAAGTCCTACATCCAGAGAGTCAGAATTTCTTTTCTTGGTTCCCTAGAAGAGAAATGGTTTTAAGAGCTTATGGAAGACCAKCCAAGGTCAAGTCAAATGTTCATTCTATTATTACCTCCATGGGTGAATGGGAGGATGTGCTTGCCATTTAGAATATCTTCTCTGAAAGTTTGGAGATGCCCTCCGAATATTCTCAATTTTATAACCTGCTGGGAATGCATCCCATCTTTTCTTAACCCTGTTTAGATCATCCATCTGTTGAAGCAGGGGATGGCAAATAATCTATACATAAAATTCACCATGTTCCCTTTCAACTACAGTGATGTCATTTAATTACAACACTTCCTTATGGGATACAAATGTGTCATTTGAACCTGCCTCAACACAGCAATTTATGTATCCCCAGATAATCAGCATTGATACTTAATGTTTGTTATTATTGTCTGAAGTAAGATGCAGTTAGTTCTTTTGGGGGCAATGCTGGAGATAAAACCAAGGGATTCATACATGCTAAACAAGCACACTACCATTGAGCTACCCCTCTGGACCCTGATGGAGTTAGTTCTTTAAGTTGACTTCCTGGTGTGAAAAATCACTTTCTCTTTTTCCCTGACAACTTTATTTTTCTGATATATGGCCATTAAGTATTTGGTATTTGCAGACTTAATTGGTGTTTGTGCTTCATCTTCAATATTTTGTCAATATCAGATCCTTGTGTCCAATCATGATTTTATGGCACTCACCTAAACTTTTTTCTGTTTCTCCAATTCTTTTTTTTTTTTTTTTTTGGTTCTAAGAAATTAGAATGGCACATATGATTTCCAGCGTGCATTTGCATACATAAGATTATGAGCACATTTGGTGTGATTGTCTCAGTTATCTTCATTGTATATTGACTGGTAACTTTTTCAAGTGCAAATTTTGATACATTTCTTCTCATCTAGCACCATAGATCTCAGTTAGAGTGGACCTTGGCTGATTATCACCAATTGTTAACCATCAAAGACTCAGTATAATTTTTGAAAATAGATAATTTTAGGTGAAAAACATCCAATGTTTATTTGTTTATTTATTTTCACCTATCATATTGGCAAAGTTTTTTTTTTAAATATATCCAATGTTAATTCCCCCAATTACTTAAAAACTCTACAGCTTTATGTGGGCTGTATATAAACTGTTTGTAGATAATTTATTTACTTTTGTAAAATAAAATTAATAAAATAACTTGATTGAGTGGGTATTTATAAAGACACATACAGGACACTAGAAAAAACATTGATCTGAGTAATTTTGGAAGTTGTTCATTGTTCACAAATTTTCTTTTACATATTTTCTACATACTTTTGCTTTAGCTGATTATTATTTGAGATCAAAAGAAAAAAATTTAAAATGATTTATGTGAAATTATTCAGTGCCAGGAATATTAATTATTATTATGAAAATTTCAGTTTTGTTGAAACACAATTGATTACCTACATATATATTTTTACAAGACTGTGAACATTATAAAATATTTGGATTGTTTCTGTTATTTTATTATTTTTATGTACACATTTCAGTTTTCTCCATACTTCATGCACCAGGAAACATCATTTTACCACCTTAAAATACTAAATTAAAAAGCCTAACAAAGGAAAGTGCACTACTTATCCCTATTTTTTTTTAAAACAAGAGTCAGGTATAGAAATGTTTTAAATTCCCTTCAAAATTCAATTTCAGTGATTAAAACCAACATGTAATAGAAAGTATAGTTTTACCTTATAATTTTGCCGATGTTGGAACTTTTTAATACTAGTTTCATATGCTTGATTTTTGGAGTGATCTGGTAACCTGCAAAAGAAAGCAAAAATATGATATCCAGTTTCCTGGACTTTTATTAGCATCAATATTAACTACAGCTTTCTATTGTTCAGTTCTAAAATTATGACAAGTGGAAAAAAAGAGCATATTTTCACAGATGTCTTCCATTAGGATTGGAGGAAGTATGAGTTCTGCATGCCCCTTGAGTTTTGCCTTAATTCTTTATTAAGCAGTGGTCTCAGAAGGATTGAAGGACACTCATGGGAAAGAGGAGAAGATAAATCTTAAAAATACTGGAGTTATTTCTCAAGTTCTAAATTGTGGTTGCTGGAAAACAACTCATTTTCATAAAAGTAAAAAATAAGTTTTATAAATAAGACAGCTTTATTTTATAATTTAACACCTATATTTACAGACGTGTGTTATATAATTTCTGTTGATAGTGTATACACTTTTTTTGCACATTGTATTTTTCCTCTTTATGTTAGAAAATGGGCCTAATATTTGTGGGATATTTTCCTATATATCTTCCCTTATCAGTAAATTGTTTTATTTCTCTCACCATTCTGTCCATTAAAATTTTTGAGAAAAGGAAAAGGAGGGAATATCCTATTTCAGTCTCAATTCTGAATGGAAAGAAGGCAGTAGGGAGGAGTAGTTTATGAAGGTTTGAGTAACAAATTCCTTGTTCTCCCCTCCCACTACAGAAGGCAGTATTTTTAGTTCTATTTGCCCTGGTTGGGAGCTGTGAAAGCTCTAAGAATAGCAGGAAACTGGCAGATACTTGGTATCAGAACCAAGACATTTCAAATGAGGGGTAAATGGGACTAGAAGCTTTTCAAAGGACCTCTTGAGACCAGGAGAGCTACACCTCACAGTATATTCCAAGAAAACTAAGGTGCATAAATGATTGCTCAAATTTTTAATCAGATAAAAGTTTTAAAAACAAGGTTGAACTATATTTAACTGTGACCCTCTCCTCCCTTTTCCCCAATTTCTTCACTATCGAATGAGAAAGGACTAACAAGGAGGTTAATAATAAACAGACCTCCTTCGTCCACCCCCACATCTGAAGTCCAGCATGTGAGTGAAACTGTGGCCTTGCAGTTACAACAAGTGCTTTAGTGTTATTAAAACCTCCGCATAAATATCTCTTTGTACTATCATTTACTTATGCCGGCCCTTATATTTGGAAACAAATTTTATTATTATAAGTAATGTCATAAAACAGAATAGGCCTATTAAGTTACAGGACAAAAGTGAGAATTTTTAGATCTAGGGAGGAAGTCATAAATAATTTACTCTGTTAGATCTAAATTTGCATTTTCTGTATATATGTAATGATAATTGTGATAAATAAGAGTCAAACTCATTAGGCCAAAAAAGGAACCTTTCATAATACAAGTTTTTGTTTATTCTTGGGAGAATTTTGTCAAGAAAGTTCCTAGCATAACAGAATCTATATATAGAACACTTGAAATTGAGGGAAATGAAAAATGTGCAGAGTATGGTCATAGATATTGAATGGAGGGAAAAAAGTAGAGGAAAAATAAAGGTGAAAATGTAATGAATGACAATGACTCTGCAGTAGAATGACAACTAACTGGAACTGTTCTTTGTGTCAATCAGTGGACTAGTCTCCTTGGCAAGGCACTTGCCCTCAGTATCATTTTCCTATCTCCTCACTTTCAGGGAGAATAACAAAAATGAAGCCAAGTTTACAGTTCTTCAGAGAATGCTGTTTTCACAGTTATAACAATTAGGGTTCTAATGGATCTGCTTTTAAGTGCCAGGTAGGGAATCACAGTGTCTCCTTACAGGATAGCCCTTTGTTGACAGGACCAGCTCCGATAACACTTTATTCCTTACCTAAACCCATGAATTAATTCCTATTATCTCAATTACATAGAAGAACACGTTGAAGCTTAAAGAGGGGAAATGTGGCTCAGTGTCATACCTAGTTAGGGGCAGAGTTCTAAGTTGAACTTGAGTCTAATTTTAAAGCTTCTAGTTTTAATTCTTGTCTAATCCATGACTGATGAGGTCTTCACTTGTCAGCTGATCTTATAAATAAATGTTCACTCACATAAGTGATGGTATCTTGTGAGAAACTAAAATAACAGATGGGAGGGGAGCAAATCTCAGGGATCCAGAGGGACCCTCAGAGTCTGGTTTCTCTTCACTGAAGAAGCTCATCGGGGCAACAGAGGCCTATCCTAGTTCTGAGGATATCAGGGCTAAACATTTAACATTTGGAAAAGCATATTTAATCAGGGAGTGGAAAAGTGCAGGATTAGGGTCATGTGGGAATTTCTCTTTTTTCCATAAAGATAAATTGAGCATCTTTCTCCCCCACTCCATCCATTTCCTAGCATCCAGCATGGTGACTGGCACATGGTGCTCAAAAACTCTTTTTTACCTTAGTCTAAGAAGCATCAATATTCTTGTATATTTGAATAGCTCAAGTCCATATTATCCCCCGGAGACCAGCACAAATGAAAAAAGCAGAACAACACCAACCTGGGTGAGAGCTATTATTTCTAGATCATCTTATACCTTGCTTTATTGGTCTTGTTTATGGCAACCTAGAACTAAAGTGATCTTTCTTGCTCAAGAAAGAGGAATGTTTAAAATTAAAAACTGTACATCCATTTGAAACCAGCAATGGGAATAGTTAAAATAAAAACTGAATATATCACTATTCATAAAAGACAACCCTCCTCATCATCACCTTATTTGGGCCTCATTCATTGGCACTCCTTTTTTTTAATGGTTACATTTTATTTTATCAATTTTTAAATTTATATATGACAGTGGAATGCATTACAATTCTTATTACACATATACAACACAATTTTTCATATCTCTGGAAACAAAGTATATTCACACCAATTTGTGTCTTCATACATGTACTTTGKTTTTTTTATTATTAGTTGTTCAAAACATTACAAAGCTCTTGACATATCATATTTCATACATTTGATTCAAACAGATTATGAACTCCCATTTTTACCCCGTATACATATTGCAGATTCACATCGGTTCCACATCCACTTTTTTACATATTGCCATACTAGTGTCTGTTGTATTCTGCTGCCCTTCCTATCCTCTACATGTACTTTGGATAATAATGTCTATCACATTCCACCATCATTTCTAACCCCCTGCCCCCTCCCTTCCCCTTCCACCCCTCTGCCCTATCTAGAGTTACTCTATTCCTCCCATGTTCCTCCTCCCCACCCCACTATGARTCAGCCTCCTTATATCAGAGAAAACATTTGGCATTTGGTTTTTTGGGATTGGCTAACTGCACTTAGCATTATCTTCTCCAACGCCATCCATTTACCTGCAAATGCCATGATTTTATTCTCTTTTACTGCTGAGTAATATTCAATTGTGTATATATACCACATCTTTCTTTATCCATTCATCTACTGAAGGGCATCTAGGTTGGTTCCACAGTTTAGCTATTGTGAATTGTGCTGCTATAATTATACAGGCAATAAATCAACATATCCTCATTATTAAGAAAGCTGGACTCCAATTCTATTCCTCTCCATTGTTAACTAGAAAGAATCTATCACTCCACACTTTTTGCTGTGTGTTTACTAACACATAGACTGAATCATATAAAATTGCTGGTATTTGAAGATTTGTAGCTGACAAAATGGCAATGCCATATGATTGAAACTAATATGCTTAAAAGTGTATAGTTTTGTATTAATTTACTACCTATACAGGATTAGACAAAGGGGAATGAAGGAAAGGGGGATGGGAATATGAAAGAAAGTAGAAGGAGAATAAGATATAATTTTCCTGTGTTCATATATAAATATACAACCAGTGTAACTCCATATTATGTACAACTACAAGAATTGGAAGTTATACTCCATGTAAGTATGATATGTCAAAATAAATTCTATTGTCCTGTATTATTAAAAACAGCATAAATAATTTTTTAAAAATAAAAAGAATCCCACAATTTCTTGTGTTTACCCAAATGATTTCAAAACTATGTCCACATAAAAACTTGCATGTGAATACTTAAGGCAACTTTATTTGTAATTGCCATAACTTATGAGCAACCAAGAGGCCTCTCTATAAGTGAATGAATAAATAAATTGTGATATATTCTATTCTGCTGAAATTTGCTTCTTAATGTAATGAAATATCTTGCATTTTTTGAGTATGTATAAATCATTATCCTTAGCTGCAGTTTTTAATAGTGAGTAATTACACTCTAGGTTAATCATCCCCATCCCTTTTTTTTGAGGTGCTGGGGATCAAACCCAGGGCCTTATATAGGCTAGGCAAGTGCTTTACCACTAGGTGACACCTCAGACCACTTCTCCCTTATTGAGGATGATATAATTATTTAAAAATTCAAAGTAAAAAATACCAAGAATCAATAAATGGGATGGATTCAAACTAAGAAGTTTCTTCTCAGAAAAAGAAACAATTAGTGAGGTGAACAGAGAGACTACATCTTGGCAGCAAATTTTTACCCYTCACACATCAGATAGAGCACTAATCTGTAGAGTATATAAAGAACTCTAAAAGCTTAGCACTAAAAAAAACAAATAACCCAATCAATAAATGGGCCAAGGACCTGAACAGACACTTCTTAGAAGAGGATATACAATCAATCAACAAATATATGAAAAAATGTTCATCATCTCTAGCAATTAGAGAAATGCAAAATCAAACCTACTCTAAGATATCATCTCACTGCAATCAGAATGACAGCTATTATGAAGACAAACAACAATAAGTGTTGGCAAGGATGTAGGGAAAAAGGCACACTTACACATTACTGGTGGGACTGCAAATTGGTGTAGCCAATATGGAAAGCAGTATGGAGATTCCTTGGAAAACTGGGAATGGAACCACCATTTGACCCAGCTATCCCTCTCCTCGATCTATATTTAAAGGACTTAAAAACAGCATACTACAGAGACACAGCCACATCAATGTTTATAGCAGCACAATTCACAATAAATAG